TTCCTCGCGTTTCCAATAACGATTGTCAATACGAAGAACTTCTTGACGATAATCGGCGAGAGTCGCCGGCTCGGGCAAACGCGCCATTTCGTCCTTGATGCGTTCAGCTAGGCCTCGTCCATAAGCCCATTTCAGGGCAGCAGAATCCCAGTTGGTACTAGCAGCCAGGGTGTTGAACCGGATGTTGTATTTCCGGATGTTCTCGGTTTCCTTCATCTTCAGATTACCGAGAGAATCTTCGGCCTCGCCTTGGGCGTCGTAAACGCCGAAATTATCCTGAAGCTCCTTTACAAGGGCTTTGAAGGAGGATGTCCAGGCCGGCAGCGAGTCGAGATCCGGGTCGAGGATATCAGGGACAAACCATTCTTTGGCTGACCCACTGAGATAGGAAAGGGTATAGTTCACCTTCCTTTGGTCGGTGAAGTACTTTGGACGGTCATTGAAGACCAGGGCGAGATTGACGAAGAACGTCTTGAGTTTTCGGGGATCCGAACCGTCGAAGACCTCTGGCTCCTTGACCTTGCTCTTGGATTCAGAGCTGTCAGAGGGACGGCCGAGAGCGGCGAGGACGGTACCAAGGGTCTCAATGGAACCCTTGAACCCCGAGAGGAGTTCCAACATAGCTCGTTGCTCGTTGGGGATGTCAGGAGAGATTGGGGAACGAGGTCCACCAGGTCCACCAGGACCGCCGGGACCACCGGGACCACCAGGTCCACCAGGTCCACTGGGGTCACCAGGTTCACCACGCGGTAAACCGCCGGAATCGTCATCCAGATCGTCATGATTGTTGTCGGCGCCCGGATCGTCGGGGTCGACAGGAGGGTCTTGATCATCGTGATCACCGGTGTCCAAATCGAAGTGAGGAGGTGGGTCACGAGGAGATTCAGAAGCAGCGCGACGTTGGGGTTGTTTCCCCGTACGGCGGGCTATGGCTTGGAGGATTGGAGAATCAATACAAGTAGTTGAACGGCCCCGAGCCAGAGCGACCACGGGGGGTTGTCCACGGCGAGGGGTCAGGACTTGGACAGGTTGTCCGTCCCCAGTGTACAGGGTGCTGTATTCGAATTGTTGTTCCTCTTCCATGGCTTCAGGAAGAGTCGACGTAGTTGGGACTGTAGCTGGACCGAAACCGCGATTACGGCGACGTGGTTGACCAATGGCAGAGATAGAGTCGGAGAATGGGGCAAATGATTGGGCTGTAGTGAAGAAAGTGTTTTCTTCGGAGTTAGCTCTAGATTGAGCTCGAGTTTTCGGAGGCATAAAAAATGATATGTCAGTACGACGTTAACGGATTGAGTTTAATTATACTGTTAAGATCATGTACACCGTGTAACCGTGCCAAGGCCACAGGGTGTCTAAGTGCGGAAGACAAATGGGACAGTAGTGAAGTTATTAACAACACCGCCGTTACGCCGTTAGTCCCCGGAGAGCGAGAGTAGAGAGAGAGGAGCTAAGTAGCAGCCAGGTCGGAGCGGCGGTATCGCCGATGACGAGGAGCAGACCAGAGAACGTCAAAGTCCTAAGGTCGAGGAGAACGTACTTCGAGGCGTTGAGCCTGAAGACTTAGAGAAGAGTTAAGTTGAGAAGGGAGATCTAAGTTGATAATTAAACTGAGGAACTACAGTAGCGTACAGACAGTATTTATATCTACGGAACGGCGCAGCGGTGCGGAGCGCCAGACTAACTACTAGGAGCTATACGAGTAGTACCTGCAGGGTAGAGTAAAAGACAATAAGGAGGGACTAGAACGAAAGGGTATGTGTAGCGAGAAAGAACAATAAGAGTGAGATTACAATAGCAAGTAGATCTTCGGAATACTGAGCGGCGGAATGGAGGCCCGCGGCATGGACTTGACAGTTAGCTCAAATACATGGTAGCAAGTCGCCAAAAGCAGTCTGATTTCCGCGAGTTAGAGAGCACGCACTCCATGAATGAGTTAGCTCAAGTACATGGCACCAGTCAATATCACGAAGGAAAGAGTTTGGATTCTATGAAGTAGTTCGCAGAGGTACTACCTGAAGAGATAGCGCGTAATCCATGAACGAGTTAGCTCTAATTCATAGTACTAGGAACGTCAGGTCTACAAACAAACCATGAATATTCACAAGACAAGTAGATGCGAGGATAAACATACCCGCTGTTGAAGGTTCAGCTGCAGCATGTGTTGAAATTAGTCTTGAGGGGAACGTCGAGGCTGTGAAATTGATCAACAATGATGCGAGTGGAAAGCAGGAGTGGACCTATTGTCCCATTCCATTGTAGATCCACACGAGTTCCGAACTGAAGGACTATTATACCTTGCCCATTATCGTCCTATTCCATATTAGATCCACACCAGTTCCGGGCTGGAGGATGACCATCGAGTGCTACACGAGTTTTCACTCACTGCAGCCAGTAGAGACGAAGGAAGAAGTGAAGAATATCTTAAACTCTCACGATCATAATCAATTCTTTGTTTGTTTGGCTTGCTTTGTTTGGTCCGGGCTTCGGCCCATTTCAATAAACAACTCGACATCCTCGACATCGATACTTTTCTCTAATACCTTGACCATGTACTGCAGCTAACTCATGCATGGGCTCTCTCTCTCTCCTCCTTCTCATCTGGGCTTCAAACTCAACAATGCAGCTTTCTTAATATCGGGGACCTTCTCGTTACACACATTCAACTATCCGTACATGGACTATATGTACGTTCTTCAAATTCTATTTCCTCAACTCACTCAGGACTATCTGTGCAGACATATTTCGGCTTATTCTTCGTCGTGGTCAACCCTTATGAAAGCCTAATGCTATACTCCGATGCAGTTGTGCGTCAGTATTGAAGTAAACAGAAGGACGAAAATCCTCCCCACATCTTTGCTGTTGCCGAACGTGTATATGGGTCAATATGGGTGGGTGGTACATTCATATCTGGCTATAGTACTGACAAGTGGTCACAGTCAACCCTTATCAAAGTCTACCGTTATGCTCAGATGCGCGGAGGAACGGAAATGCTCCCCACATCTTTGCCATTGCTGAACATGTATGGGTGGGGAGTACATTCATATCCCTCTATCTCTGTTTCCGCCGCCTCCCCTTATGCATCCACACCCGCACTGACTCCCATTCTCAATCCAACCCGTTAAAAGCCTCCTAGACCTCGCCCCAATGCTCCTCAAACTGAACCTAAACCCAACCTTTCTTTCCCTCGGCAAAAAGGGCCGCTAAACAGCTTGCCAGAGAAGAAGACGAAGGTGGTGATATTGGGTTCAAATGGTGAGGGTTCGAAAGATGAAAGAGAGGGAGGTCATACAGCCCTCTCCTCACATCATCCCTCCCATTCATTGAGCACAGTCAATACAGTGGACACCCGAATGTTGTCTGTCTTCATTCACGGGACTGGGATATCGTTGAACAGGTCATCATCTTCTTCACATACCTTGCATTCACAGAATACCACACTGATACTCAATGATCACTCGCATCTTTCTTTCATCTCAAAACCTTCAGCGAGCTCTATACGACGACGCTGCAGCGCTTTGGGCACATGTGCAGGTTCTGAGAGTTGAGGGAAGTGATTACCCTTATTCACATTCATCATTCATGTTATCCAATATCAACTCCTCTTCTTCAAAATTCCTCTCCTCCTAAGGACAAAGGCGGTGGATCTGGAGGTGAAATGGATAAGGAGTCAGTGAATAAATAACTGAAAGTCTGAAGTTTTCCAATTGTATGAATCCAACAATGACCAAGATTATCCCTTGTACACTGTGTCTTCTGCCTCTATTAAACTTCATGCAAAGTGTATGTTACATTATGTACATGCAAACAAAAACCTTTGTTGAAGTCTATATCGTTTCTCATTGTAAATTATTGATGCTGATATCAGTGATATCGTTGTTGTTGATATATCTGGAGATATGTTGACCTCGGAGATGTATCCAATGTCAGGATGTTGATGATGTCTCGACATCCCCAATATCGGGTACGAATAATCTGAGCAGGTAAACTTCAAAATTTACTTCATTAAACCTTGAATATTCCAGTCATTTTTCCACAGTATTAACTCATATATGCCTTGATGATTATGTTAAATTACTCCTGCCTAATGTAGTTGAGTATATCATTCATATTCACACCATAATTATTACAGGAAAAATCAGACAAAATAACAGGAAGTCTAAAACATTGTCTTGAGTTAAGCTGTATGCTTTATGGTCAGAATTTTCCTTAGTATCTGTGAGGCAAATTTCAGAATATATTCCAAATAATCTGAGGTGAGAAACTTGCAGATAAATGACCATATATGTCAAATAACCCTCTCATAATCACACAATAGGACCTTGAGATTAACTCGAGTATTTTTCTACACATTCAAGGCATTTAATCTTGTAGTAATCTGGCCTCAATTAATGCAAAAAATCATTGCAGTATATATTGAAATCATGTTTCCAAAATGCTTCCCAGTATTTAATGGTGATATTGACAAAAACTTTTTAATATCCTTTGAATTTAACTAATAGATTGACAGTCAAATATCTTTATCTAATCTACATGATATCTAGGAAATTTCCACGGCTGAAAAAGATGCCATCCCCCCAGTGACACATGTTGAGAAGTGAGGTCTGGCCTGTACACAACTGAAGAAGTGAGGTGGAAACACCTGTACACAACTGAAGAGGTGAGGAACACAGCCTGTACACTTTTGTAAAAAATCAGGTGGAACCTGTATACATCTGAGGGTGAGACCCTGTACAGAAGTGAGGCAAAACCTGGAGAGAGATAAATCTGTACACAGCTGAAAAGTGAGGTTGTGGAGAAACCTGTACACATTTTCAGAAGTGAGGAATATCTGTAGAGTTTTGGTGAGAGGAAGCAACTGAATATTCATGTACCTGTCAGAAGTGAGGAGGAGGCCTCCTGTACACTTCCAAGATACTGAATGGAAGATTCTGTTGCTGGTGGGGATCTGTTGGTTTGCAGAGGCCTCCAGAAATGCTCCCTACCCTTGGAATCCGCCTTCATATCAAGAGTGACTTTACTACCAGCTTATGATAGTTGGGTCTTAGAAAAGCCTTCAATCTCCAAGCATCACAGAAGTGTGTCATATGTTCACCTATTTTCATTGCTTCTGCCTCTGCCTCTGATCTCATGAGAAGGAAAGCTCCGTTACCTTGAAGCTTTGTGGCCACTATTACCTTCATCTCCCTCCCTTTACCCTTGTCCTGCAACATTTTCTCCAGTGCTAAGTTCGCCTTTACCACAATCACTTTTTCTGTTAGTTTCCAGTCAGAATCTGCTTCTGACCTGATTATTATCTGGCAGTCCTTCAATTCTGTGTCGCATATTGCTAGGTTGTATCAGGGCTGTTAAATGTATTGGGCAACTGACTTTGCTTGGGCTGCATTAGCATACAAGAGCTGAGCAGTGTCCGTTCCCGCTACTTCCCCTGCCTCCAATTCCACCAGCCTTGCCCATGATGTAGTTCCCCTAGCCTCTGCTTCCTTTACTAGTTCCTCCACTTTGTCCTTCAGCTTTGTGGACACATTTGACATGTCTTCAACTTCCTTTCTCATGGCTTTGACCCTGTCCTCGAGTCTGTACATCTCATCGTCAAATTTCTCCTCAATTTTTGCTATTATCTTATCTCTGAACTTCTGCATCCTGTCTTTATAGGAACACTCCTGGAGTATTTTCCCAATAAGTCCTATTTTTCCCCAATGTTGGCTTTTGGCTTTCCATCCTTGGTGCTGGCTGCTAGTTTGTATTGATTTGTTGGATAGAGTAATCGTGTAGTCCTTTCCAGAGAGCATGAAACTCATGGATACTGCCTTGGCAATCAGGCTTCGGTGTTCATCATTGCCATTGGTACTGGTTGCTGGCACTGCTCGGGAAGGTTGGGCTACTGGGAATTCCAGTCTCGGCTGTCCCGGTGGAGGTTCTTTTAATGTATTTAGGTTGTTATGCAACATGCTGGTTGTGACATGTTATGATTCACCTCCTCACCATGTGATAGAGTAACTTCAGTGCTGATCACAATACTATGAACACACAAGCTCTTGGAATAAACCTTGTGGGGAATGTTGTACATTGAGATGGAGAAGTACAACAAATGGTAAAGACATCTGGAATTTTTATTGGGGGCCACTTCATCTTCTGAAAGTGGACAATATAATCCATCTGTTGAAGGAGACTGCACTTGTTGAAGTTGAAACACATTGGAGCGCCCTTCAACTAACCCAAACAGTATGCCACCCAGCTCAGTGCAGAGAATATCAATGCCTTAGTAGGTTGGGCTACAGAGTCTTGTAGTTGCTCAGCACTTCAACAAACACAATAACAATGAAGAGAATCAATGTAGAGTGAGTATTGATTGGTATCTTTCAACTGTAGTAGGAATACAGGTTTGTTTGGTCTTGTATGTACAAAAAATGCATGATGCGTGATAATAGGTGTCCACAATTTTGTGCACCTATGAAAAGTAACTAACTACTGCAAGACTAAAGAAACTTGTACACTAAAAGTTGAAAAACTCGGAAATGAAGTCTGTAAGTACTTTGTACACTAAAACTAATGATTATAGTGATAACTATAGCTAAGGAGACATTGTGTATTGTATGTAGATGTATGTAGAAAGTGTTCTATCACTACAGTATGCTCAACACCATCTTGGGGACATCATGAATGGTGATGTGGAGAGTCTTGTAAAAATGCTCTCTGTCCTTACTCCATATATGGCACTAACTGTAATATCTTCTGGTCATTCTACACCTGAAATGTAATAACAATAAATTTAGAACCAGACTGTTGATTGGGTAGTGGGCCCTGCCACTTGCCGGTGCTACTTGGTTATTTTCAAAACAATTAGCACTGTGGGGATGAGCCAATGTCTTCGCAGTGAAAATGTAGAGAAAATGCAAGGATTTTTACCAAAATTCATCAAAAATCCTGAGCACAAATTTTAAAACTTTTTGTGTGGCGATTATTGTGAAGCTATTGTGAATTTGGCAGGGGGCCATGCTTATTTTAAATTATCTTTTCATAATTTTACCATAACCTCAGCTCAATTCCTTCAAAATATCTACTGCCATATTTTTGTACATAACCTCGAGATAACCCACATTTTCGCCTCGAGGAAATCGGCTCATCCCCGCAGTGTAGAATTAAGCTGCCCTTTTGCATGGTAATTATTTTGAATAATCAGACCAATATTTCGTTGTGATGATTCTTAAAAATTGCTGCATATGAGCCCCGCTAAATATAATTATGGAACCATTCAAAATATTCTCTATGCACATATTTGGAGAATTTTGTACAAAAAAAGCCCACAATAATTTCAGCCTTTTCGGGGTGAGAAAATGGGTTCATCCCCGCAGTGAAACTGACTCCCATGAATACTAGTGTCTCACCTCCCAATGGACGCGCTGTTACCACTCGAATCGATGAGGCAAATCCCGGGCGCCATGATCATGACGAGAATCAATACTTGAGCCTCATTCGACACGTCCTCGACACGGGCGACGTTCGCCCAGACCGCACAGGAACCGGCACTATCGCACTTTTTGCTCCCCAGAATCTCCGTTTTTCCCTCTCAGACTCGACTCTACCTCTTCTCACCACGAAACGCACATTTTTACGCGGCATTATCGAAGAACTGCTCTGGTTCGTCCATGGCTGTACCGATTCCACGATCTTGTCGCAGAAAGGCGTCAAGATATGGGATGGAAACGGTTCGAAAGCCTTCTTGGAAGGCCGTGGACTTGGGCATAGGCGTGAAGGGGATTTGGGTCCTGTGTATGGATTCCAATGGAGACATTTCGGCGCAGAGTACAAGGACTGCGACGGAGACTATACTGGACAAGGCGTTGATCAATTGCGTGAATGCATCCAGAAGATTAAAGAGAATCCCACTGATAGAAGAATAATCATGAGCGCTTGGAATCCCAAAGGTACGCGTTACGTCGCGTTTTTCACTTCCTCGCGTCTCAATACAAGAACATCGCTTTAGACATACCACTTATGGCTCTTCCACCATGTCACCTTCTCTGCCAGTTTTACGTTCACCTCCCTCCGCCGAACAGCTCTCAGAAACCCAAGCTGTCCTGCTTGATGTACCAAAGATCCGCTGATCTTGGACTAGGGATCCCATTCAACATTGCGTCCTATGCTCTCCTCACACATATGGTTGCCCGAGTCACTGGTACTGATGCTCATGAGCTTATTATACAGCTTGGTGATGCTCACGTCTATCGCGATCATGTCGACGCTCTCAAGATACAGCTTACGCGTGAACCTAGGACATTCCCGAAGTTGAAATGGGCTAGGGAGGAGATCAACGATATAGAAGATTTCGTTTACGATGATTTTATAGTGGAAGGATATAACCCCCATCCTTCAATACCAATGAAGATGAGTGTATGAGAGTCAGTTGAGCTCCATTGGCCTAAATTCAGTAAATTGACTATGTATACTTCGATGTATCTGTTTTTGTATGATCTTTGTACATCGTATTTGTGGACAATTACGGAGTGTCAAACAAGTTCTCAGAAGGAGGAAGCGTTTAATGAAAGAAGGTACATTGTCTGCGAATAAACAATAATAAATGTATGCGTCATAAAGTATCGCTGGAAGTAACGATTTCTTCTTAGGATTTGCGCGGGGAAAAATTGGAAGCAGTGTGCGGCCGGTAGTCGATGCTACCAAAGAAGTTGAAATGATTCGCGTCGTCGCAGGTAGCGATTTCTTCAAAGGCGGTATTCAGTTTTTGCGGGATGCGAAGAATAGTGCTCGTAGTCAGCCTCTTCCTTGCAGTCGTGAGAAGCATAATTTTCATTGCTAATATTTGTAGCCAGTAGATGAGAGAGGCCAGGTAGAAGTGAAAGCGCCGGATCAAGTGGTAACGCGTCCTGTTGTTCGCGTAGGCACTCTGAGGGAAGGAACGCGTAGCCATCTTCTTCTCTGCGCCCATCAAGCTTGACGACACTGTCGTGACTCGCAGTACGCAAGTGACCTGAATATTCTGAAGATACTTCAGCTGGGACCAAGCCCTCAACCTGGGAAGTATGCGAAAGTACGAGTCGTGGGCGTGAGGGCGCGTAGTTCTTTTCATCGGTGAAAACGTACTCGATGGGAGGTTCCTGTTCGATCCCGTACGAGTCTTGTTGACCAAACCACGTCTCATATGGCGGCATAAGATCTGGAGATCTATTACGTGGAGCGTCGTGATCATCAGGGGTTTCGGTAGCGTCGAGTATCTCTTCAAGTTGGGGAGTCAATTTAGGACCGAGGGCGCGTAGGTAAGAATGCAAATAGTAAGGAATTGGCGGAATAACGGGAGCTTCCGACGTTGCTTCGAATGATCTTTTGGTTCGACGCGCTCGATGGTGATTTAAGTTGGAAGTAGTAACTCCTTCAAGTTTTGCATCCATATTCTCTTTAGTCGATTCGACATTTAACGGGATTGTCAAGGAGGAGTTAGCAAACAGGTGGATTGATGATTTGGATATAGTAGAAGGGACAGGCCAGTCGTTCTGCCACTTGGGTTCCTTCGACATGATGGCAGAATGAGTTTAGGACCAAGGTGCGTGCATATATCGAACATCAGTGCCAAGCGCTTGAAGCTGCCTAAAGCGTCTGTTTGCCACGTGGTGCAGTGAATTCACAAACAGAGCCTTGTCAATTCGCGTCCAGCATGGCCGACTTTCTAACTTGTGAGCTTTGCTTTGTTTAATTTTTCCAACTGAGAATGCTGACATCCTTATAGCTGGCAACGATGATATTGACTTTGATAGAGCTGCCTCAGCTTTCCCTGACATCTCCCTCGACGACATAGGTGACATGCCGGCTCTCCCAACTACCACGTCCCCAGCGGCTCCAGTGCCCAGCTCTTCCGGCTTTTCATTTGATGACTTTGACTCGCCCACACCTGCAGCTGCCCCGGTCAAGGTAACCGGAGATGACGATATTGAAAAGTTCGAAAGCGAGTTTCCAGATATTGACATACCTGTGAGTAGTTGTCCCATTGGCGGCGACAAAGGTTGTCGCACCTATGTTTCGGGAACGGGGTACTGCTACCCGAACATACTGTCAAAATTCGCCCTGAATTCCAGCATTCGTCCTCTTCCTGTCGTTGCCCTTTCCACTCGCTCATTATGTGCTTTAGTCATCCCCTCCAGTAATGATGCACCAAACCTCACAACCTTCTTTTGGATCTGCCTTCGCCCCTATACCCCAACAATCAGCCTCTCTCTCAACGCCAACTATAGTTCCGGAAATCCCAGAGGAGGAGCCCGAAGTTATCAAGTAAGTTCCTTCTCACTAGGCAACCTTACACCTCTTTTTAATCAATCATTCCATCCAGAGAATGGCGCCGAAAACAGGCGGAAGAGATTGCTGCCCGTGACGAAGCTTCTCAAAGGCGCCGAAATGACAATATTGCAAAGGCAGAGAAGGCTATCGATGATTTCTATGAGAATTACGCCGCGAAGAAGGAAAGGAATATCCGGGAGAACAAGTGTGTTTCCAACTATCCCCATCAAGGAAATCACTGACCCCCCATTACTAAAAGGGACGAAGAAGCTGATTATGTCCAGTCTCTCACCGAATCACTCTCCGCTGGCACGACTTGGGAGCGTATCTGTAATTTAATTGAACTCCAGAATTCTCAGTCGAAAACCATTGCTCGCACTGGTGCTGGCACCACTGACATTACGAGGTTCAAGGAGGTGTTGTTGCGGCTCAAGAGGGAAGGTGATATGGCACCGGGAGCTGCTGGATATTGAGACCAATGCTTAGATTGAAAATATAGTGAACCTTTGCGGTAGAAGAATATGTCATAGTCGTCTCATTCCTTCGAAGTTATGTTTACAAGATTTGTTTCTCCTAATGTCATCTTTCGAGTCTCTGCTCTACAAATCTCTTTCCAAGTGCTACACGAAAAACGAAAAAGCAAAGTAATCGACTGAACGTATATTACTGCCTCTAATCACAGAATGTAATTTCGAGATCGACCTGGTATGAACAAAACCCCATTTAGTGATCTCATATGCATACCACTCGAGAAAACAGGCCACCTACATTTGTAGCAAGACACTCAATCGGAAGAGGAGAGATAATACCAGTAGCACCTGGACAGCCCGGAATTGTACCTGAAGTAAACATGAATAGCAACCAGAGATCATAGGAAGCTTTAACGCACAGTCCCAGCCTTCTCCATCGCAGCCGTTGAAATAGCTTCAGAGACCTTCAACAAAAGGATTGAAAATCAAAGAGTCAAACTTACGCGAATCCAGTTGGGATAGAATATGAAGACCTGACGAAATTTCAATCACAATGAACGTATTATTGTTTTGAGAGCTCACATATTGAAAGTCGTGCTCGAGCCACTGTTGGCCAGCGTGGTCTCAACGACGGTGCATCCTTCACCGTTACTACCACAATTGCCTGAAGGAATAAGGATGTTGAGACTTTGCGGCACATTGTGGAATCTCACCTGCGTCGAGGTAGCTAAAATGAGATAAAAATAAAGTTGAACGTTCCGGTCTCCCCAATGATATTGACCCTCTATACTCACGCAATAGCAGAGAATGGGCCATTGATAGTGTATGACGCTCCTGTAGAAAGAGTGACTCCATTCTGCTTCAGAAGAGGCTGGAAACAAATTCACTTGAGATTCTCTCAAACATGAGATGCTAGCAGTGAAATACCGTCCCAATGCCACAACTTCAAACAAGTAGCAAATGTTTATCAAAAATGACATTTGGGAAGAGGGCGAATCTCACCGACTCACTTATTTAAGAACTTCACTGTGTGGTTTTCGGCCTTTACACCTGCAGCAAGGATAGCAGAAAAAGCAGCGATGTTGAGAAGAAGCCGGAGCATTTGAGCAGTAGTTCTTTCAGTACGTATGTTTCGATCCAGTTCTTATACCCTGAAGCACTGAGACCCGTATTTGTCGCAACTAAAGTGAACACCATCATTGATCTTGCCGCACCAACTCTGCAGGGGATTCAACGGATCTTCTTCAGAAGGTACTTGCATTTGAATATCATTTCATTAGTTCAGAGTAGAATCCTGTAGAACCTTGAACTCGGGCCTTTGAAGTCGACGAGGTCTGTTTCAAGAACATATAAGGAACATTATTAGTCCAGCTTGAACGACCAAGTCACGGTATATTTCCTACTATCTCTGCCGAGGTTGAAGAACTGTGAAGACAAGTCTGTACAAGAAGGCCCCTGGGCCGGAGCGGATGAGTCAGAGCTACTAGATGTCACATGATCGCTCTTGCAAGTTGCACCTGTACAGCTGTTCCCACTATCACGTGCTTATGTACCAAAAATTATCCACGAGCTCATTGAGTAACTTTTTCATCGTCGCCGCAAGTAATGGCCTCAAGACCCACCGTCAATGTCCGATCTGCCTCTGGAGGTAAACTGGAATAGTTCCTGTGCATCCGAAACTTTCACTAAAACTACTTGCAGAGGCTTCAACCTCTCTTCCTTTACCTGCGGTCCTTACCGCCCCGATTCGACTCGATGTCGTTTCGCAAGTCCACAGTGAGCGGATTCATAGACTGATTACATTTGTAGCTCTGATGTATATTTTGTAGAAAGTCTAGCCAAGAACAAAAGACAGGCATACGCTGTGAGCGAAAAAGCGGGACACCAAACTTCCGCCGAGTCTTGGGGGACGGGTCGTGCTGTCGCACGTATTCCCCGTGTTGGTGGTGGAGGGACGCACCGCTCTGGCCAGGTGCGTAGTTTTGCTATTTTACCACTACTTTCGACGCTTATGTGTATGTGCCTTCTCTCAGGCTGCTTTCGGTAACATGTGCCGTGGTGGACGTATGTTTGCCCCTACCAAAACCTGGCGCAAGTGGCATGTCAAGGTCAACCAGAATCAACGTCGTTTTGCGACTGTCTCTGCCCTTGCTGCTTCCGCCCTTCCTTCTCTCGTTCTTGCTCGTGGACACCGCATTGAGCAAATTGAAGAAGTCCCTCTTGTCATTACCTCTGAGGCGGAATCTTTCAAGAAGACCAAGGAAGCTGTCACTTTGCTCAAGGGTCTCCACGCCTACCAGGATGTTGTGAAAGTTTCCAACTCTCGTAAACTTCGTGCAGGAAAGGGTAAACTGAGGAATCGTAGACACCGTCAGCGACGTGGTCCTCTTGTTGTTTACAACGAGGATAACGGTATTGTAAAAGCTTTCCGTAATCTACCTGGTGTCGAGGTCGTGAACGTCAGGAGATTGAACCTCCTCCAACTCGCACCTGGGGGTCATCTTGGCCGTTTCGTCATCTGGACTGAAGGTGCATTTGGGCTGCTCGACGAAGTATTTGGAACTTTCGACAAGGCTTCTGCTTACAAAAAGGATTATGTGTAAGTGGTTTCACTGTCTTGGACGTTCTATCATTTTACTCGTTCGTTCCTTCGATAAACAGGTTGCCTACCGCCAAAATCTCCAATCCCGACGTTACTCGTCTTATCAACTCTACCGAAATTCAGTCCATTGTCCGTCCCGCCGGTCAGAAGACTCAGAAACGTCCCTGGACCCAGAAGAAGAACCCTCTTCGTAACAAGGCCGTTCTCTTCCGCCTCAATCCCTACGCCAAGACCATTCGCAGGCATGAACTGCGTAAGCATCAAACTGAGGTCATGTTGTTCCTTAACTTAACATATTTTATCCCCAGTCAAACAAGAGCGTCTGAAGCAAAAGCCCGTCAAGAAGGTTCAGGCTTCCGCTGCAGGCGACGCTTTCCTTTCCACCCTGCACGCTCCCTAAACCATTGTGTAGTTGTTCAATTTGGTGGTAGTTCGAAATATGTTCATGTTCTTCGCTTATGTCCCCATGTATTCAATTTATGGTTGACTGTCGTATTTGGTGAATCAGCGCAAGAAAAAAAAATTCTATTCGAATTGTCTTTCTAAGTAATCCCGAATCATAGCCTGAAGTTCTCGGCGAGCTGGTAATGGGAGCCCTTGAAAAAAATGAAGAAGTCAATTGTTTATCATTATTAAACATCAACCTGTATTATGCATACCTACGTGTCCTGCTTTGGACAATGCTTCAAAAAGAGTTTGAAAGGATAACTGATCCATCTCAGTAGCTTGCTCTTCGGTATGTCATCAGTTTCACAACCAGGATATTACGGGATTCTCAAAAGCACTAACCGACACCCTTGTGTTTAATGTCGTCCAGCCATCCACTTTCGTTCAACTTCGGACTGATCGTAGCTTTCATCCTGAATTAGGATGAGATGCTTGCGTAGTTGTAGATAGAATATACGAACCGCTCCCATTCGCCACTTTCTACAAGGCGAAGTCTGATTTTTCGATAGAAACCATCCACGTCCGCCATGGAAGTTAGGAAGAGTCAGGCAAGACAGACGCTGACGAATTACGTGCTTGATGACGGTTAGGGGACAAACATCGATAGACTCTTGCCTCTACAAATTTTCATCTTTAATGATCGTGCCTCCTAGAGAACTTGGTCACCGAGCTAAGTAGGTGACGGTTACGTTCAATTCTGAGAACTCCGAAGTATATTTACTATATACTAAACATGTTGTGAGATGAAATCCCGAATCGGAACATTATACGGGTGAAGGTGAATCCGGGTCGTAAGTAATGGGAGGTGGTGTGTACAGCGCAACTAATGAGGGTAAATATTTACAAACGGACAAAAACCCTAAACAATGGCGAGAAATAATCCGTACCCATTGTAAATAGATCGGAAAATAAATATATGCAAAATTCAGAGTAAAACAGATATGTTGGAAAGCATAGCGATGACAGACGAAAGATGTGCACGGGCTGATCAGGAGAAATAGCAGCAAGGTTATGACCACCAACCCTCCTCGTCTACAGTAGGCGCCAGAGACACTGTACTGGGCGTCGGTGAAGCAATGGATGATCTAGCGTATTGTAATGGCGGACGAGAATGGCCACGGCTCAAAGTTTGTGGGTATCTTCCTGACGGTGCGTATACGGTATTCTTGATCCCGGAGTGCCCATTCCTTGCGGGGGTAGCTGACGGCGCGTGAATTGAGTCCCACACCGATGTCGAATTATGAGGAGGTGTGATGCTTCCAGTACTTGGACTGCGACCATTGGGCGTTATGGATCGATCAATAAACACAGTGCTTGAACGAGAATCCGGTCGAGATGATGAATAAACAGATCCATTGGAGGCTTTGGAATGAGAACCTGACATAGGATTCCTGAGAGCGACCCTGGCCTTTTCCAGTTCGACTTGCAATTTCCTGGTCTTGGTTTCCAAAGCAGATACTTCATCACGAAGCCTGGTCTCACGATCCTTGTTTTCAAAGCGTAAGGTTCTAGTTTTGAGCGATAAGACACATCATAAAATGCTGGCTGACCTTTGCTAGACGTTCGTCTGCCTCTCGATCCTCAAGTTGCATTTTGACTACTAAGAAATCAGCATCGAGCTGTGAGTGCGTCTGCTCAGCCTGCTCTAATTGCGTTGTTGTTCGTTCCAGCTTAGCTTCGCTTTCTTTTGCCCGTTTTTCCCATTCTGATGCTCGCGCTTGAGCTTGAGCAAGGCTCTGCTTCACAGAAATAGCAGCCTTCTCTGAAGCCACAGTGCGGTTCTCTTGTTCTTTGTACCGCTTCTGCAAAGCGGCGTGTTCTCCTTCCAGTATTCTGCTGCGATCCCGAGCACGACGCAGCTCATTCAACTCTTCATTGTCTGCCTGACCGATTAAATTGGTGAGATGCTCTATTTGTTCCGAGGCGCGCCGCAAATCATCCCAATGTTTCTGTTGAGTGGATAGTTGTTCGTATTGCTTCTGCAGCGAAGAATAAGAGTGCTCGGCGTTCTCCTTATCTCGTGCAGCAAAGGTGACCTTGAGCTCCAGGGAGTCGACCTTGTAGGAATTCGCCGTAAGTCAAGACCGTTGGCAAAGATGAATCAGGATTATCTACGTACCTTGACCTTTAAACTTTGTCTTTCGGCCATTAGCTCCGCGTTAGCCTTTTCTAAGGCTGCGATTCTATCCATGTTCGCTTGTGTGGCAACGTCAGACGCTTGAAGCCTTCCCAATGCTTTCGCGAGGGCTTCTTCAAGATTGATATTCTTGCCTTCTACGTGGGCAATATCAGTGGTTCTAAGATCTACTGTAGCCTGTAACTCCTTCGCTTGTGCCTTGAGTCGCTCACGGTCAGCCTCGAGGATATTGACTTTCTCATTGAGCATATCCTTTTCAACACGTATCTGTCCATGAGCACCGCGAGCCTTGTGTAACTGGACCTGAAGGTCTGTATTCGATTTACGCAAATCTTCCATTTCATGCCTGGTCTGATCCCGAGTGAGAAGAATGTCGGAATGAGAGGTTTGGAGAACTGTGATGGCGGCGGAAATTGAGTCAGGAAGTGCAGACACTCTGGAAAGGACATCCTTCGAAAGCTGCAGTACTTCTGTACTATGGCCAGCAAGACTTTGTTGATTCGAAGCAATGTCACTGAGTGTGTTGTTGATGTTGACAATACTTTGGTCGGAAACCATCCGTTTTTCACTTGATGCTTCAAGTATCTGCGTTTCCATGGCTGTGTTAACCTGGGCAGGAAGTGCACCGATGAGCTCCACTAAACGCTGATAGGAACTAGAGAGATCCGATTGTTGCCCAGATAACGACTTCTGCCCGTCCGCGATGTGAGACAGGTTTTCAGCCCAAGGATCAAAGAGTCGTGATACCGTCTCTGTTATTTTACTGGTGATAGTGTCGACATTGAACGACTTGTCCCGGACAGCAAGGCGAGAATCAAGCCTCTCCACCACAAGATCCGCAACCTGCTCTTTGATTTCAAATGCATCGATAGGAGCAATCGCTCTTCGTACTTCGGTGGTCAACTGTAAAGCAATGGCATCGGTGTCGGGTGCAGCACTGGAATATTGTTGTAGAATGGGCAGAAGGACAGGCAGTAGGCGGTCAACTATAAGACCAGCTGTCTCTCTCTTGTCCGATGCAAGATCAATGATCTGCGAAATATGTGGTTTAACAGCCTGGGTGAGTTTACTGGTCAGGAAATCGTAATCCACAATTTCTGGGCGAATCGCATTGAAAGCCGGGTTCAAAGCAGAAACGATAGCATCAACGAGCTGATCATGCTCTCTTGAAGGTGCCCCACGAGTGATTGTTTCAAGGCGTGTAGAAAGCTCCGATATAGCTTCAACTACTGCAATAATCGTACGAGAGGAGTAATGTTCAAAAGCCTTGGTAAGGTCGGGCTGAGGAGCACTGTCTGGTTCTGTAAGACCGCGGGAATGAGTTTGGGATTGAAAAGTGTTCAATTCCCTAGTTATCAAGTCCAATATCTTTGTATGACCTTGTTCAACCACGTCTTTTATCAACTCGAAATCCAATTCACCTCGAGCATCGAGGTGTGTTTCATCCAATCCTCGAGTTGCGCTATCCGTCAGCTGAGTTCGGAACAAGGAGACCACATCCGAAATCATCTCCTCAGCCTTCAGAGTAAGACCTTGTTGCTGGAAGCTAGTATTAGATATCGCGGTCTTCAGGTCGCGAAACAGGGCAGTCAATTTTTGGTCAAGCAGGTTCTCAAGTCTGTCCTCGTGGCGTCTCATTTCTAGACGGGCATGTAAATCTTTCGCCACTGGGCCTGCAAGCGAAGACACTTCTGACATGGATTCCAACGAGGAATTCGGTGACCGCCTCTCGTAGCGCAAATTTTCTATGTTGTCTGGTAATGAAGATCTCCTTCTAGCATGGGCTTGCCGTAAAGATGTGGTTGCAAATACATCCTCCTATGAAAACATTAGACTTAGTTCAAAAAGAAGGCAACCATGCACTGACAGTAGGAGAAGGAATAAACTTTGCTGGATCTGTGACCAGCCTTGGCCTCGAAATTTTATGTGAGATCGCAGGCATGTCAACACCCAAATCATCCAGTGATGGCCTACTTCCTTGCTCATAGAACTCCCGTTCTATTTCTCGTTCAACCTCGCGGCCAAATTCCCTTGTTCTTTGCTCGCGCGAACTAAGTCGTGAACGGACGGTAGGACGTGTACGCTCATCAGTGGAGTTGGAATTTGAATGGTTGGCGAGAGCTTTGAAAAGACCCGCGGGAACTGTGTTGTTCGAAATAGTTTGTTTAAATGTCAACGGAATTGGAGCACGTTTTGATTTCGTAGACGCAGGAAGAGAAAAGACATCTTCAACACCAATGTTGGCATTGTTCTCTTTGTCTTCGTCATCCGAGTCCTCTTGGTCCTCCTTCGGTGATGTCTCCTTTTCACTAGCAAGTCCACCGATATGAGGTAAAGTTCCGACGGCATTTGAAAACCCGGCAAAAGTAAATGGCTCTGCGCTTGGATTAAGGCTTGCTGAAAGTTTGCTGTCACTGGTACGTGCGCTTTGCCCGCGACCGTGATGATTTCTTCTGGGAGAAGGAGGTACACCGATTCTAAGACTAGCAGGAGAGCCAAAATTGGACGGGAACCGGAACGAAGCCATACTATCACCTTCCACAAGCTCAGCATCAGACCCGGACGGTGAATGATCCCGACGCTGGCGCTTTTCCCGTCCTTGCACTCTGAAGGGTGACCCTTCAGCTACGTTCAAGACGAACTCTTTAATTGCAGTGTCTGGACCAGCATGAAGAGCTGCAGATGGCAATGGCAACGGTCTTCCGTCTGTTTGATGTTGAGGTTCGGGGAAGCCAGGAGTAGGCGTCGGGAATACTGGAGGTACTGTAAGAACAACGCTCGGGGCAGGAAAAGGCGCTCTGAAGGAAAACCCGCCGCCAGGTTTGAATTCCGCTGCAGAAGCATTCAACTTAGATGCAAAGCTCGCACTGTTTGAGGAAGACGGGAGACGAGAGTGGGACACGACTGGCGCATTTGGAGCCACACCACTGAAAGAAAATCCTGCATTGTTGCCCCCACGAGCTCCGAACATGAACGGTTTAGCATTAGGATTGAGGTTCACTTTGGTAGGTTGGGCATCCTCATTGGCACCGACAGAAGCAACTCGAGAATGGGCTCTGGCAGGATCATGAACTGAATGAATCCCACTTTGTGAGCTGGGACCTCGAGAGTGATGGCTTGGAAGAGGTGGTAGAGGCCGGGAAGTGGAACTACCTGAAGGAGGATATCTCAAATCCAAACCAAGATATCTACCATGTTCTTCCTCTGAGGGGTTGGATATGACATCGTCTTCGTGGGGATGCATAAGACGAGGTACTATAAGGGTATTTTCGGGAGGTCGAGGGAAATGGGGTAACTTTCGTGGTTGTTCAGAACGGGGTACCACACTACGTCTTCGCAAACGTGCGTCAACGCGCGATTGCCTTGCTCGTTCCTCATCTGAAGGATTGGACCATTCGCCTATGCTCTGGGAAATCGGTGCGTTCAGTAACGGAAAAACATGATGGCAAAAATTCCCACCTCGTCATCACTATCTTCCTCGTCGTCAACATGACCATACCCATCTACATCTTCACTACCTGTCCATTCCTCTAATTCCTTATCCTTGGGAGGTATATTAAGAGGAATCTGGCCTCTTCCGACTCCAAAAGTGCCGGTCCCTATCGCAGTGGCGAGACCTAAAGATCCACTGTCAGAAGCAGAACGCATTTCTGCCAGCCGCTCATTCAAGCCATCCGCAACGAGACCACCAAACGAGCGTAGAGATAATGCAGCCGAAAGATGTGAAGCATGTCTAGAGTGATGTCGGGACTGCGCCGCAGTCAACAGTCCATTACTCTCCATTTCCTCGCGTTCCCCTTCTTCCAAGCTTCTGTCGTCTCTATTGTCGTCCTCCTCCTCCTCAGGTTGCGATAGCACCTTCTGCTGATCCACTATATCTCTATGTTGAGCCCAGCTGGGTATTTTAAGTTCGTCATCTTCGAGGTCCTCTGATTCTTCCTCCGCTTCCTCCGGAATATCCAAGCCAAACCCTCTAGCAAAATCGGGACGCGAGTCAGTCCTGACCGCGCTCAAAGGAGGGACTAGCGCAGAGGGGTCGCTCGAAACAAGGGTAGACATCAATACAGGCTTCCGTCCTTGAGGAGCATGTATATTCGAATCCGAAGCGGAATCAACTTCAGGCAGCGAAGGGCTGACGCTACCTCTAATTGTGTTTTGGTCGTTTCCAAGTACCGCGTTCGGTCCGAATGGATTGGAAGTTGCACCGGTGCTAGGGGTTCTAAAAAATCCGGGACTCAAGCTGACCCCGGCTGAAGGAGGTTGAACGAGCGATAACGAATGTCCGTGTCGATTCGTGATGAAGCGTGGTATATGCGCACTGCTGGTAGGACTTGGGGAAAGGCCACTTGCGCTGTGCGGCGGATTCAGGAATGAGGGTTGAGGGGAAGTGGACAGGGAATTTCCAAGAGAGGACGACTGTTGTGCTAGCTGTAATTTGTTGAGCTTGAAGAACAGTAGCGCAGGGTCTGCCGGAGAAGAAACCTAGATTAGAAGAGAATTATCAGTCGATTGAAGATAGCGGAACGAGAGGGATCAAAAAAGATCGCAGTCACGGGGTGCGGATTGTGTGGCGTCGGAAAGTAGATTGATGGTCCAGTCCTCATAAACGAATGACTTGAACAGAGTAGTATTTGACAAAAAGAAGAGCACGTATAGCAGAAGTAAACGCGAGGGGAGGGGGGGGGACAGAATTGAACCACGTACAGATGCAGCTCTTCCATGAAGAGCATAAGGTTGCACAAACGAGCTAGCACTAGAGCTCCCGCCGCGTTCTACACCAAGTTGCTCTAATTTCTGTTCAATAGCAGCGTGTTTAAGTCTTTCCCAAGCGATCTAATAGGTTGATGAGGTCAAAAATGGAATACGACAGAACCAACGATAAGCACCTTTCCAGGTAAAAAGACATCAACGGTGGGGGGTATTAGATGTCTAAAGTCCTCTGGAGGAAACTCTTCGCAGGTCATGAGTTCTGGGTACCATAGTTCCGTGATATCAACAACCTCCTCCGGTTTCAAAGGCACTCTGGCAAATTCTGCCTTTATAGCTGGAACACCTTCCTCGTCTGACGGTATTGTTTCTTTCGGCAGATTGACAATGTGTTTCTTCACTTTGACTGTAGGTGCGGAATTTGGAGGGGGGCCGAGAGGCGTAGTGGAACCACTAACACCGGTAGAAATAACACCGCTTGAAGGAGGAGGATTTGGGCTAAGTTTTCTCTGTGGCCCTCCTAGAACAGCTTTGGGGGGACCACCGATACTCAGTTGGCGCCTATTTCGGTTTGGAAATGGATTGTGAGGAGCTGGCATGCCAACAGGAAACCCAGCCATGGACTGCCTCGGAAAGTGACCACCCATAGGAGTAATAGGGAACCCGTTCGGCGGATGTATTCCGGCAGCAGCGAGCTGAGCCACGCTTCCCATATTCCCCATGTTGAAATTCATGCTCTGTTGGCCAACTCTATGACCCATTCGACCGGGCGCGCCAGGTGGTATCATCTGGACTGGGTTGAAAAATGGTTGCATGGGAGTCTGCATAGCGCCGTGACCGGGTAGGGGCAACGGTGGATGGAAGCCTTGTTGTAAAGAGGTGGGCAACGCAGGAGAATAAAGAGGATGCATCCCTGGTTGTTGTAAGGCAAGAGAAGCGGGTACAGGGGGAATATTCAAGCGAGGCAGGTCACCTCGCTGACGTTGTATCGACGTTGCCATTGTGTTGAAGCCGGAAGACGGCAAAGTCAAGATGTAGGTCGGAGAAAGGACTATTGCCCAAAGAATAGAGAGAAGAACACTAGCAGGTGTATAATCCTACCAGAGCTATTTCTCTTGAGCAAAGACGCTCGCAGAAGAAATGTCGGCAGAAGATTCAGAATTCTCAATGCCAGATTTGCCACGTGCGATCACGGACTTGAAATTGAACTTTTTGTAACGGTTTGAGCAAGTCAGGTCAAAAGAGTACTACATAGTATCATATTAAGAACGCTACATCTCAAGTTCTAGAGCTACGTGAACAAAAGTACAACGGATATACAGGAATAGATGGCATTGATAGCTGCACAAAGTACAACGACAGTTAGTGACCCAAGGCGTATCTTACAACACCTTGTACTGTACTGGCGCGAAGCTGCACGACTCTTTAAGTTTTTCCTTTGGGTGCGGTCTTGCTGAACAATTTGGCTTTCTCAATAGCGGCGTTACCTGACATACGAGATATTAAACAACAATCAAAATACATGAGATTTCCAAACGTACTGGCTTTTACCAGATTCTTCTTATAATCCACGATTGAAATATCGTCCTTGGTCAAATTCCGAATTTTCTTGTCTGAAACTTCCCAGAGCTCCTGGGCAACCTGAGAGATAAGACCTACATAACGGGATGGAAAACATCAGTTCTGTTCTCCTGACTATATTACCCACGTACGGAAGTCGTGTGAGACAATGACAACTCCACCCTCAAACTCGTTGATTGCTTTCGCAAGAGCATCGATCGACTCCATATCCAAATGGTTGGTAGGTTCATCTAGGACAGCGGTTAATCTTGAATCATAGTTCCACTGAAAAGCTGCCTACCCAACAACAAAATGTGTGGATGTTCCATGGCCAGTTGAGCGAATACAACACTATAATGGACTTGTCAACATTAACCGATAACCAGGAAGAAAGACACCTCACCGATTCCGGAGACCATCACTCAACTGCTTAATAGGTGAGACTTGGTGAGTTCCGCTAAGCCCGAATCGACCCAGCTGGGCTCGCCATGCTTGAGTATCTTTCTCGGGGAATTTTTCGGAGAATAGAGATTGGAAATATTCTGAATAGATAGGATTCTGAGAATAGGGGGAAACACGGGGAGCAGATAACATACCAATGGGAGACTTGTCATACGGTAACTGGTCTGCCGAGTGCTGGGAGTACTTGGCGAGCTTTAAGGCAGTGTGCTTAGAGACAGTGCCTTCAACAGGCTACGATTCTTTGATTGAATGATAGATACTTATTCGAGAAGAAATGAAACGAACCTGTAGAGCACCAGTGATCAGATGCAGCAAGGTGGATTTTCCAGCTCCATTGGCACCGAGAATGGCTATACGGGAGTCCATGCTGGATAACCGAAAGGAACTTGATTATTATAGACGCATACCGCCGACGATTGAAAGACGAACTCAATACCGAAGCTCAGGTTTTGATACAAGTAATCCGCCTTCTTCCCTGAGTATGAAAATGCCACCTCGTCGAAGGCAATGATAGGCGGAGGTAGTTTGCGCACATCCTCAAAATTGAAGCTGAGTTGCTTTGCTGAAAAAGAAGAAAAACACAATTAAACATATGGTTCCGGAGAATCGACCCGGACATACGGGCTTCAATCTTCTCCACCAAACCAGCCGCCTCCATCTTATCGAGGATCTTCTGCTTCAACTTGGCTTGTCGCACAAGATTTGCGTAAGTACCAGCGGAAGCAATGAATCTAGAATCGATGAATAAACCGACGAAGAGCGCCCCGGAAGCGGAACGCACTTCTTGATATGTTGTATCTCATCTTGTTGTTTATTGTATGCCTTTATCTGATTGACTTCATTTTCCTGCTTCGTACGAACGTAGGTGGTATAGTTTCCTGTGTAGTAAACCTATAAAGGATGGTGAGACAACAATACGAGTAGATGAATCAGCATCACACACAAGTTTTTTCTTGAATGTGAGATCCATAACATTCGTGCAAACGCTATCCATGAAGTCCTGTGCAGAACCATTTAACGGAAGGATCAATAGAGAAAATACGAAAACCGTACTTGAGAGTGAGATGTGATGACTAGAATGTGGTTGTACGTTGACAGATAAGCCTCCAACCATACTACAGCTCCAAGATCCAGATGATTTGTGGGCTCATCGAGCAATAGAAGATGTGGTTTGACGAACAATGCTCGAGCAAGAGCCACTCTCATTCTCCAACCACCACTCATGTCTTTTGTAGCCTTCTTCATCATTTCTTGACCGAAACCCAAACCATGAAGAATGCTCGCCGCTTTCGTCTCGAATGTTGAAGGATCAAGCTCCTCTAGTTCTTCGTAAGCCGCATCTAAGGCAAGTTCCGCATCTGGATCATCAGATACTGATAGCTCCTCGATGTATTTTTCAAGTTTTTCGACTTTTGCTTTTGCGGATGCTACGATGAACTCGACAGCGTTAACATTCGAGGGTTCGACTTCTCCACGAACGAGGTAAATATCAATGTGCTGAGGGATCTCGATGTCACGTTCGGCAATAGATTGAAGGAAGGTTGACTGCGATTTTACACATTAGCAGATGCCGAAATGTTCGGATATTTAGCAGGATACCTTTCCAGACCCGTTTTCACCTAATAATCCATACCGTTGGCCGTAATTGAGTGCGATTTCAGCACCTTCAATCAGCAGTCTTCCGTGAAAACTCAGTGTATACTGATCGATCTTGATGTCCCGAGCTTTCACATCGGAGACGAGCACGCCAGAAGCGCTTCTATCAGTTGCAATCTTCAATTTGGCCATATTGGTGAGGTCCTCTGAGGACGTCGCAGCACTGACACTGGTCATCGGTGTGTTGACACCTGTAGATCCATTAACGCTGCCTGTGGGGGTAGACGTAGATGTAGATGCATCCCCAACACCGGCGGCTTTTTTTGCAGCCTTCTCTGCAAGTCTTTTTTGCTTCGACGCGGATGGAGCCATTGCGATTAGAGGATGATTATAGATCTATACCGAGGAGGTTGAAAGGTTCAAGAATCTATAGCCCTAAACCAGAGAGCGAAATGTGAATCGATGAAGACGGGATTAAGAGGAAATTTTCAAGTCACAAGAAATGATGTCGCATTTCACGACCCTCACGTGCACTTACATTTTGCGACTCCGCAGAGTCCCTCCCCTCCCCGATGCTTCAATTCAAAATAGGGGCTGAGCGCTGGCGCTGAGTAGCAGCCATAGCCTTAAGACTTTGGGGCCAGTGCAGCATCGTCGGGCTTTCTAAATGTGTCGCCACCAGCGTCGTCGTACATATCCATCGATTATTGACTTGCCCCGATCCACCTGGAAAGACAACTTGCGGTAACCCTCCAGTGCAATTCGAACACTATGTTCACCTATCTACTTACCAACCATGGATCCTGATATGAACTGGGAAACATTCAAACATTTCTGAGCTTTACGCCGCCAGGTTCAGGGGCTGTGTGTTTCGCCTGTTTTGTGGATTATGGGCGCTGTCATTGTATTCTATACACTCCGATATAAATTCCATGTAGGTATTCCCATTCTTCTCTCATTCTTCCTCGACTTCCTGCATTATGAGACTTAGGTATTCTTTGCCTAGTGGACTCATTTTCCTCTCATCTACAATCTTGTCTGTGGACGCAATATCTTTCGATGTTTCGGGAAGAGCTCGTGCTTCTAACCCTGTCTTTCACAAACGTGACTCTATCCCAGACTCCTCCAATGGGAGTACTTCGTTGGAGGACCTATTGGATACTATCTATTTTTGCAACTTAACTCTTGGTGGAGCACCATTTGAGGTTTCGATCGACACTGGAAGGTAATTTTTTGATAAAGTCAAAGGTGCTCTCATATTTATACTAAAGACACTTTCGGCTCCTCAGTGCGGATCTGTGGATTGTTGGCACAGTTCCTGCAGCACATAACACATCTGTTCATGCAAATTTGACCTATGGTCAAGGTTCAGTCGCAGGTTCGTCATCCTTTTATTCGAGCTTCAACTTGGATTGATTCCCGGTGACGTTAGGGTTCATAAATACTGCAGCGCTCGTATTTGACGATTTCGAAATCGCAGATCAAGCTTACAGTTCGTGAATTCCATATTTCGCAGTTGGTAGACTTCACAAAATCTCTCTATTATTAGTCCACGCGGATTCCGTCATTCAAATGATCCAGGATGTACCAGGAACAGGGTTGATCGGCCTGGGGCCTTCTAAGGGGTCCGCGATTTTGGGTCTGTTGAACTCGAGCGCGGGGGACCCACCGCTCGACCGTATTTTCAAACAGAACACAAGCACCCCAAATATATTGACCATACTTCTGTCTCGTAACGAAGAAAATTCCACAGTCCCAGAGATGAGCAATCAGTTGGTGCCTCTCCTCGAGGACCAGCCCGGGCAGATTACCATTGGTGAAGTCATTGGGGGATACGAGGAAGTGGCAGAACAACCCAAATTGCCCGCATTAGTAGATGGCTCTGGTCTCAATCAACATTGGATGACTCTGCTAGACTCCAATGGTATTATCGGCCCTGACGGAAACAGAATCAATACTACTTCATCGAAATCTAATTTAACTCAAGGCAAGAGCGACCAACTTCGGGTTGTTTTCGACAGTGGTTTCAGTTTTCCTCAGGTATGTTTATTTGATGGTATATTTTCGCAGCCTGTAAATCATCACCTTTAGGTACCAGCTGACATTGCCGATGATTTCTACGGCCGTGTACCGGGGGCATTCTTCAACGAAACCATCGCCTACTGGCAGGTTCCTTGCAGCTACGAATTGAACGTCTCATTCATCTTTGCAAGCGTCGAATATCCTATCCATCCTTTGGACATGACTGCTTTCAATGGTGTTGATGAAACGACTGGGGAGGATGTCTGTTTGGGATGGGTTAGTAATCTTGTGTTTTTACCGCTAAGATAATGAACGCTCATCCATCGATACTAGTTCCAACCAATCGCAGACAATATCCTTAGTGACCCTAATTTTGGGTCATTCGACGTTATCTTGGGTGCAGCATTTTGTGAGTTCTTTGATATGTATGACTTACCAGAAATATCTGACGAGCTTTTTCCCTTCTAGTACGAAATGCCTACCTTCTCATCAATTTCGGAGATTTTGTAGATGGCTCGAACTCATCTGTCGCAGACCCTTTCATTCAACTGTTTTCAACTGTCAACCGTACCGCAGCTCACCTCGATTTTGTTAACGTCCGTCTAGGGGGCAAAGATACGACAAGCATGCAGGATCCACTTCTTTCTGTCAGCGAAGCACAGTCTTCCTCATCGAATCTAGCCGACGCACTTTCAGATAGCTCTGACAATGACGAACCGGTTTATAAAAAGACCTGGTTCATTGTCGTCGTCAGCATTGCAGGGGCCATCGTACTCGCTGCTATAGGATGGTCCATTTACAGTCTTACGCGACGCAGTCGGCGAAGTAATGTTCGATCGGAAAGCGCCTTTATACCTCCAATGGGGTCTTACAAGCCGCTTGTTATGAAAGAGGATGGTGACAGTATCGTAGGACCTGCAGTTGGCCAGTATAGTCACCGGTCAGGATTTCGTGACCCATACACAGATGAACCATAGGTTCGATGTTGGTAACGCTACAGTCTGTTTTTGACGTATAATTGCATGTCATGAAATTTATTGCTCTGTATGTATGTACAGTTGTTTCATTTCACATACATATGTATGACTTTATGAGTCCGAAGAGATGATACAGGCCAGTTCTGATGATAAGCCATCTGAGACCTTAAATCGAAAAACCCATCACCCTCCTTAAGCAGCCTTAAGCTTGTTATCGGATGCAATATATATATATAAATTGTTGTAGAGATCCGCCTCGTCTTCTCAGTCTGATTTGATAACTGCTGGTCGAACCTTTTTCCCTTTGGACGGAGAAGCTCATTCCATTCACCTGAGCAAATTTTGAGTGGATTTTGCGCTTCAGTGGGCGATCAATTGGAAACAGTCGCCTCGATATAGGTTGATGAGGCCTTACCGAAGACATCCTGAAACCCCTCCTCCTTTTTGGTCATGTAAAATCATTTTCATCTGGAAGGCGACAAACGGTCATGATGAGTAGGAGCAATAGGGCAAATTTATTGAAATCCTACGGATGATTGTAAGTCCAAAGGCAAAGCTTTAAATAGGCACTGTATTATAGAAAAATGCTATAAGGAATAAACCCACAACTGTCCTTGGATATCATTACAACTCCTCCCATGTTATGCCGGGATCACTACTACTAGGACCAGCATTCTTCCCAAGCCATTGGACGACTGGACTCTCCCCACTTTGGCTTCCCCATAAGTAATAAACAGCGCGGCCTTTCATAACCGACATATGATGCGGGAGGTATCTGACGATGCCAGTAGCCAGAAGTGTGAAAGTCGTAAGGAAGATGATCACTAGAATTCAAAAGAGGTTTATTAGCAAACACAGAACCCGATAAATCGTGTCCATGATATTCTCATGGGCAAAAAAGGGCAAAAAGGAACGAACAAAGCAACAGTTTCTCCCATGGCTCGAGCATAGCCAGTGAAAACGTCCCTTCTATCCACATATGCACCCGCCATACCCAATAAGCTACTTTCGATTGGGATTTTGGAGGTCGGAAAGCCTTGAGGTCGGGGCGCGCTGGCGGGTAATTGGTTGGAATGTCAGGGATCATTTTTAATAAAGGAACCAGCAAGTTGAAACCTGGTTGCAACGATGGAAGAAGGGAAAGGAGAATCGGGAGAATATTCTCACGTTCAGCGCTTACCTCTTCACGCACCCGCGGAGGCCTGTACCGGGCCTGTACAACTCTGGCAACGCAGATGGGGCTACCGAATGTTAGGCCGAGGAGGGGTATTACTGGAGTACGAGGGGGCGATGAAGAGCGGCTGGAATTGATAAGTATGTATTTGGGAGTTTACTGCTTTCGGAAGTGGAAAGAACAATTAACACGATTGTATTCCGGAATTGTTGCACGCGTAGATAGATAGATAGATAGATTGTTACTCGGCCCCACCACGTTAATGGTGTGGTCCCCTAAACGGAACGGCCGGTCTCAACGAGCGAACGACAGCGAGCGCAACCCACAAGGAGAAGGTAGACTGACGCCCGGACGTTGAGGCAGAGGAAATAGATAGAGGTACATGAGAGGGTAATAAAGTATATCCGATCGATAGTTAATCGTTCTCGTTAGAACTTTCGTCATAGCTCCCATCCAATTCTTGGTGTGTAAAGGCCTTCCATATCACAACTACTTCATGAATAAATCGCGCAACCCGATGTACTGTACTCCAATTGAATATAAAAGCCTTGAGGTAATACAGAGATTCAACATTGGTGAAAGTCCGAGTTGTTGGTAGGGGGATTAACGGGCACGGTTGATTTTTCAAATTTGATGATTTGTTGCCGGTTTATTGCCGGTCCGTAGGATATTTGATATCAGCTTTCTCGCACCATACCTTGAGTTTCAATGCTTTTATGCATGCAGTAGGAGCATTTTTGTGGCCTTCAAACTCTGAGGTAGATACACTGTCATCTTTTGCCTTCTAGTTACCTCAGGGATGATGAATATCCCCCTTTGAGTATTCATGTCTCCACTCAATTTACAATTTTTGAAGGAATTCACACCTCTATCCTCAATTTATTGGGGTCATGCAGTCCTACTTAGGGTGTGATACAGAGTGCCTGTTACTTGAACTCAGAGCTCATATGGTAAACTCCAGCATAAGCATTTCTTCTAAGAAGAACAAGCAAGCTCAAAGAACTTGAATAGCTATCAAGACTAAATAACATCTGCAAAACCTGGATGTTCACAAGAGCAATGGAGGCACTGTCCAGCTTCCAGCAATTCTTCAGTACTGCTGGGAGCACTTTCCCAGCTGGATAGTGCTGTCAGCTGCTTTCTGTTGAGGGATACTCCGTGTGCTCGAGCCCATTCTGTACATACCTGAGATTTCTCCTTGTAAAGTTACAAGACAGCATTATTACATTATACTATACAGTACCTATGTAGGCAACAATGGAATGCCTTGAACACCTACTTCACTGAGTTAAACCTTGACACTTTCAAGCTCTTAGCCAACTTGAAGAATACAGATTTTACAGATGAAGAGTTCAAAACACAGAGAGCTATTGTACCAAATCCTCTAGCTCATGTAAAGAATAGGATACAGCATCTTTCATTATCAATAGTTGGAATAAATGCATAAAGAGAAATGCATTGAAGGCTGGAGGACACTGTGACATTCAATGGGCAATGATGCAATGATAGGCTATCAGTTTCACTGTGCCTTCTCCCGAGTGTGCTATCTGAGGAATTTATCATTCCTGAGGTCCTCAGAAGGCAGAAAAATGACAGTATATTCACTGAAGAGTTTGAAGGCCACAAAAATACTTTTACTGCATGCATAAAAGTGTCAATGGTGAGATATCAAATCCAACAGACCAGCAATAAACTGGCAACAAATCATCAAATTTGAAAAATCAACCGTGCCCTTCCCAAGTGCATTAAGGGGGATGAACACGGCGACATCAACGAGGAATTCGTTCCTTAAAGTAGTGATTGCGGCAATTGCAGTGCACTGTAAAAGGACGTGTTGTGGGGATTCAGGTTGCAGCGGTGAAAGACAAGCACGACACCGTTTCGAATGGTTTTCACCGTAGTATATCCTAGTATATCCGAGGCGAGGAGGAGCTTGGTCGTTCATGGCAAGTTTTTCGAATGGAAAGCAGGTAAGTATAATTAGTCTGTATGTATAGTTACTTCATATCGCATATATATATGACTTTGTGTAAACAGATGATACATACAGGGAATCCGATAATTTGCTATGTATAGGGGTAAGAGAGAGTAACTTTACAATATAACTTAAGTGGACCTTAAGGTTCAATCATCGTCAACAAACAAGGAACCATCGCCCTCGTCGTCGTCAGATGCGATATCAATATAAGCCTTGGCCTTTCCTCGAGCTGCTCGCGAGGACGCTGCGCGAGGCGGAGGTTTGGGTAAATCGTCGTAGAGGTCCATGTCATCTTCTGAGTCTGATTTGATGACTGCTGGTCGAGCCTTCTTTGGTTTGGGCGGAGAAGCGGGTTTCATGCTCTTAGATACCTTCCGCGCCTGAGCAGGATTCGGGTTCGTCTTTGCTGCAGGAGGCGAGCCATTGGAAGACTCGCCGGTTACAGTGTTCGACGAGGTCTTCCCAGAGAAATATTCCTGTATTTTTTTCTTCTTGGGCGGATGTACGATCTCCTCCTCCTCCTCCTCATCATCATCGATGTCTGGACTAAGACACAACATCCGTCAAAATAACGTGCGTATGTAGAAAGCTGGATCTGAGCTCACCTTTTTCGTTTCGGGGCTGCTTTTGCTTTCCCTTTATTGCGAGCTGCATTCCGAATTTCGGCTATCTCGACGTCCGAGTCAGATTCTATCTTTGGTCTGGCAACAGCTTTCTTGGTTGCAGGTTTTTTGGGAAGCTCGCTGGCATCCTCTTCATCGTCACTATTCTCTTTCTTCGTTTTAGCCTTGGTGGTCTTCGAAGAGGCTGGCACAGCGGGTGCTCTTTTCTTAGCCGCTGCTTTGACGGGCTGGAAATCGTCATCAGAGTCGTTGTTACCTCGATTGCCTCCTCCACCGAGGGACTTCCGAGTTTGGAGCACAGCTTGTTTCCGTTTGCCTTTTTTGACAGCAGCAGTACTGGCGGCCATCTTTTGTTGAAACTCGTCTTCGGTTTTCTGATGGACCATGTAGCAGAGTGCACTCAGAAAGGTAATTGATTGCACTCACGCGCCATTCATCCAAAAACTTCTCCAAGTCCTCATTCCAGATATCTTTCGGCGATTTTTTGAGGAGTACCATGATCTCTGCTTCCTGATCGGCGGCTTGCTTACGAAGTTTCTCGATCTGCCAATAGATTAGAAAATCTGGCAATAACGCCAGGAGAAACCAGTAAAATACCTTCTCTTTCGTCAGACTGTAGATAGGCATGTTCAGCAGATAATCATAATCGCTATTGGATCCCTTGTCCTCGTCTTCAGCCTCGGCGTCTATCTCATCTGCACTTGCATTCGCCTTGCTCTTCTTAGGGAATGCAGGAAATTTGAGTTCCTTCAAATTAGCGATGATGTCGACCTTCTTTCGTGCGGCAACAATGAGCTGTTTATCGACAATCATCTGGATGAACCGAGCTTGACTATTGAGGCGATCCAAAACTCTTGTCATCTCTCCAGACAGATAATCCTAGATGTTTCTAGTTAATTTAGGTCTGCATGAACGTTAAACACACTCCACCTTGCGCTTCTGGTAATAGGACAACCGAACGGGGTAGAACTCCTCTAATATCGCTTCTGGGGAGTCGTACTTGCGAATCTTACCGTCAAGGTCGAAGCAAATCATGTTACTTGTCGAGATCTTGGAGATGAGTTTGAAGTACTCCGGGAGACCCTTCTCCTCAGCTTTCACGAGCTCTTTGGCGTCCATCTGGATAATGAAATGAACATTCTCGTTTGCGTGATGTTCTTGATAATTCTAGGTGGTAGGTGACCAAAATACAAATGAATAAAGAGGAAGTCACAATGTGCCAAATCGTACCTTGACCGAACCTTCACCTTTCTCGCCAACCATCATTGTCTCAAGCTCAGCCTTGAAGTTTTGCGTCCATTTATGAATCGGGAGCTCGGTTATTTCGACCGTGGTTTCATCAAGTTTAGTCACAATTCCGGAAACGTCGTATTTGTTTTTCGACGTCTGTTTGATTTCGCCCTTGAATCCTCGCCACCATGGATGCATAGGAACGAGCTCTTCGCCATTTTGGAGCCGACGTATGTTAGCAACTATCTCGACCGGGTTAAAGCCGGGGATGTTCGTACTCCAGCCTACAAAGATAACAATGTCGGTGGCATTCAAACAAGGCGAGAGAAGAATAGCGAACCAGTCCCAATACCCTCGGCACCATTGATGAGGACCATAGGCACAACCGGCATATAGAACTCGGGCTCAATTTGTGAGTTGTCTTCGAACTGAGCGTTCAGCAGGGCGTCGTCATCGGCATGGAAAATACTGCGTGCGATAGGCATTGGCAAGGTGTTGATGTACCTGCCGGAGGCATGGTCCTTACCGCCCTGATCTCTGGTTCCGAACTGACCACTCGGATTCATAAGGTTCAAATTATTGCTTCCTACAAAGTCCTGGGCGAGAGCGACAATGGTCTGAGTCAAGCTCATATCACCATGGTGGTATGCCGCATGTTCGGAGACATAACCAACTAGTTGTACAACCTGAAATAAAACATGATGCACCGAAGACCCGAGGACAAGGACAAGTGCTATACCTTGATCTCCTTCTTGAGATTTCTCTTGAAGCAAGCCCAGACAACTTTTCGCTGCCCAGGCTTCAAACCATCGGCGACGGATGGTATAGACCGAATGTTATCAGCCATGGAGAACAGTATAAGTTCCTTGTTCACAAAGTCAGAATACGGAATCTCGTGGAGCTCGTGATCTAAGAAGGTTCCAGGCTTCAAATCTTTTGAGTTTAGGTTAAGGACGAGGATATGATGGTGCTTACCTTGAACTGCCGAAGCCATTCTTTCCGGTCATCAGCCTTCTTCTTACTGAACGCCAGTTCTATCAATTCTCGGTCCCCTTCCTGCGTCGGGGCAAAAGGAATTACATGTTTCGCCATATTGCTGAAATAACCACGAGCATCGGCATCGGTACTGGTACCCAGACCCTTCATAACTGTGAGCACAAGGACAAACGTCGTGACGAAAATGCCAACCTTGAAGTACTTCGTGTCCCACTTGTCTGCACCAGGTACTTCTTGTGCCCATTGCTCGTACTCAGGGATTGTGAAGAAATCCCGATGTTGTTTTCCTTTAGAGGCCTAGAACGAGCGTTCAGTTGATATCGTGCCCTCCCACAAAATAGAGAACCATACCCGAATAATCGGCGTGACGAACTCAACGAGGAAGTCGGGTATTTTAAGTAGTGACGGATAAAAGTGGTCGATGAAATTGATTAAAAGCCCTTTGATATGAGATCCGTCGTGATCCTAGTCGTTCTATCTCAGCGCCCCCTCATATTGTGACAATATTCAACTTACCTGATCAGTCATGATCATTAAGCGTCCGTATCGCAAGCTTGAGACATTTGAATAGTCCTTGTTATGCTGCAATCCCATAATCTTCTTGATGTTCTGAATTTCCTCGTTCTTCATGATTTGATCGTGCCGGGCTTCACGTACGTTCAGCAACTTACCTCGGAGGGGAAAGACGCCAAAATTGTTACGCCCTACCACTCCGAGACCAGCAATCGCAAGTGCTTTGGCGGAATCTCCTTCTGTAAGAATCAATGTGCAATCCTTTGCATTCTTTGTTCCAGCGTTGTTTGCATCGGACAGTTTTGGTAAACCAGTCAACCTGGAGTATGTTTGAGATTTAGAATCATTGAAAAGTGCCGGCGACTTACCGACTACGCTTGCTTCCATCGGTTTTCTTGATTTGCTGGTCAGCTTTGAACTTGGCCCAATTTAAGATGTTGTCCACGATAGGAGATTTCTGGACTGAGTGGAGATGTTGGAAGGCAGATACAAAAAGAGCAAAAAATATTCACCTTTCTTCATGAATTCCTCTGATAAAACTGGCCTCGTTCCGAATTTCGATGATGGAAGTGTCAACGTTTCCTTCGTTTGACTATCGAAAGTCGGGTTCTCAATGAGGGCATTGATGAATACCCACATATGGTTCTTGATCTGGCCAGCTTTGACGGTAGCTGCCTTGTTCTTCTTCCCAATTGCAGTGATAAGGTTCTTCGCAATCTGGTCGGCGATGAGGTTGACATGGGTTCCACCTTTGGAAGTGGAGATGGAGTTAGCAAAGGATACTTGCATGAAATTACCGTCGGAAACAGCGAATGCCACTTCCCAACGTGAACTGATCTGCTCGTAAATGACAGTGGGCTTGTTTTGAGCAGCACCACCAGAGTGTTCAGCGGCCTCAGCCGTCGCAGAGTTTAGATACAGGTCGACATATGACTTGAAGTTCTTGATCTTCAGTTTCTCATCGTTCAAGAAGACTTTTACGTCCTTGACTGTACCAGCCATGTCGTAGACGCGTCGTCGAAGAAGTCCAGCCGTATCTTCGTCAATGGAATCCATTCCGAACCGTTGGAGGTCGGGGCGAAACGTGACGCGTGTAAATTCCTCGCCTTTCCCGTTCTTGGTGATCTTCGCCTTCCCGCACTTGCTCATATTCTCCGTCCATGTCTGTTTGTACTTCTGAGACGTTGACTTATCGGCAGTTTCAATAGTGAATTCATGGGAGTAGATGTTGGCAAGTTTAGCACCATAACCATTTCGACCACCCGTAAGCTTTTTTTCGTCATCGTCGTAGTTGGAACCGGACAGAAGATGACCGAAAACCAATTCCGGGATATATATCTTTTCACGCGAATGTATTTCGATAGGAATTCCCTTTCCATTGTTGTACACCGAAATGGTGCCTTCCTCTACGTCGATATTTATTTTGAGGGTATCCATATTCGGGTCATTAATCTATTATAAATTTAGATTCTAAATAACGGACCTGATGGAGCGCAACGACGTACCTTATTATCGGCGGCATTCACCAGTATCTCATCAACAATCTTAAAGAAACCTGGAACGTATCTGACGTCGCGATGGACCATCCGCTTCGTGTTCACATCATAAGTCCACATCGCCTGTGTGATGTGCTCAACGCTTCCAATGTAAGAATCCGGTCGTTTCAATATATGTTCCAGTTGTGTGAGCTGAAAGCCATCAGGTCCTCGTCCAAGTACCAGTAGCGCACGAAAAACAAACCTTCTGGAAGGTATCAGAGACACTTTTCTTCTTTCGAGCGGGAGCGTCCGTCGATTGCATTTCTGGAACATCATCATCCATTTCCATCCTCTCGTCTTCGTCCGTAGCGTCTTTCTCTGCGTTGTCATTGTGGTCGGCAAGGACCTTCTTCTTTGTAGGGGCCTTAGCCTTTCCTGCGGCTTGAGACTTTGATGCCTTTGCTTTTGGGACAGTCGATGCTTTGGCCTTGGTGGACTAGAAAACAGACTGAGTTTCGACGCGTTAGCAACGACATGGGCCACACACCTTCTTTGGTGGAATCTCGTAAAAATCAGACTCGCTATCCGTGATGTCCATCACCCCGAAGCTTTCCCCCTCCGAAGAGCTCATCTTGTAGCGTGTACGAGTGGTAGTGAAAGTAGAAATCAAAAGCGCGTTGACTCTTTGTTGCAACACCACGTGAGATGAGGATACGCGCGTGATTCGATTCCAACAGGGAATTCGCGCAGCTAGCATGAATTTGATGAACAGAAATTCAAAACGCGTCGTATCTAAGTAAGTCACTTGTGAACTGTTGCAGTCGTCGATTTTGTGTGGTTAAGTCTGGGGAGTAACGCGCTTTCACCTTGCTCAATGCTCATCGCACTAGTCGCGTGACTTGGGCTGGCGCGTTGATTTAATTAAAGTTTAGATTTTTGAATCAAAGGCAATTATTAGAGGAATTAGTAGCATGAGGATACCTGGGGCCTGAGGGACACAGAGGAAAGAGTAGTACATTTTATATTTATTGTATGGGATATCAAGGTCGGATCCAAGGCCCTGCATCGCTCATGGAACACCCCTCGGAGCACTGACAGGTTCCACCAAGAGATTTAGGCAAATTCTCCTCGGGAATCTGAGCCAAAAGAACATCCTTGTTCTTGGCGCCCAAAACTTGTATCTTTGCCACCGTAACTTCGTCTAACCAGGGCTTGACAACTGACCATACACCGGTGAATAAGAACGGGGCATTGATGATGTAGAATTTTCCCATGGTTTCGGGATAATGGTCCTGTCCTATCGAAGCAGCAGACATAACATAGTCCTTGACGCGGTAGAAGCTGCGCAGAGATACGTCCTTGAGGTCGAGGATCGTGCAGTAGGTCGAGACGGGATGTCCAACAAGGGCGGAGCATGCTGGCAGGCGCTCAGTCATGGACCTTTCATACTCGTAAACAAGACGTTTAAGTTGACGATCTGCGGTAGTGACAGAGTACAGAGCATCGATATCGAGTGAGCCCAGCCGCTCTATGTACAGTGGGCGTCCGTCCTGCATGAGTAGTACATGCATTCTTAGTCCGTATCAGATAGTAGTATCAAGGGATGATCCACACCTTGTCTACTTTGTGGTAGAATTGAGGATAGTATTTATCGACTTCTGCCTTTTCATGATATTCGAAGCTCCTGCGTGAGTCTGCATTAGCCAAAATGCAAGCTTCGAAGCTTGAAATTCCAAGCAAGACCCACTTCACAATCTCATCCACACCAAACTCCTTCCTCCACTTTTCATTTGCTAACCACATTGCCTTGGCTGCAGCAACGTTGAACTTCCTTGCGCGCAAAAACCTTACATAGAAGCAATATGATACAGTTATCGCCTCGATGAACTCGGGTCGATCTGTGTACGATCGGTCCTGAAATACTGCTGGAGACATACCTGAGGAGCCCGGCGTCGCCCATTCTAGCTTCTGCGAATCCATCCTCTCCTTCTAGAGCGAATCCTGTTTCCTTCTGTTCCTTCAACTCCTTTTTTAGTTGATCCAGTGCAGATTGCTGTTCAGCATTAAGATTGCCCAAATATCCAGATGGTGGCTGGTATGGTCCTTTGGTCTCGGTCGTAGCCATTCGCGAAATCCTAGTAAATATCCTCAAAAGTTGTATGGAAGTTGAAGGAAAGAAGAACACAACTTGTGAGAAGCCGACGTCAGATTGAGCTTATTCAGACTGAGATAAATGACTACGACGTCCTATCCATCTATCCAAGTAGTATACTCCAGGTACCTACTCAACTGATTTATTGTATTTCGCGACTACTTGTTACATAAAATTCCATCCCATCGTACATCTCATTTATCATCGAACTACTATGTCCGAGTATGTCCGTCAGGCTCACTTCAGGGAAATCTGATTCGTCGTCATACTGAAGCATACTGAAGAAAAGGTGACGTATGTGGATGTATGCGCATCTAGCTGACTCCAGCTAAGCGCTAAGCAGGAAGGTCCTGGAATATGTATGGCACAAAAGGTGCTAGATTCATGATCGTTTTGCGATTAGAGACGCATAGGAATGAATGGGCACTTGCACAGTTACAAGCATCGAGACCGTCTGTTCCGTCCTGGGACTCATCACTCGGGAGACCTGGTAAATCGGCGCCTCAGCGATTACCGGCTCGCGTCAGCTGTAAGGTGACCACCGTACCGTTTCCTGATGCACCTGAGGTATATTGGGTCGGAAAGATAGTATAACGTATTCGTATTTGCGAAATAGGATAAGGGATTCAATCAAGGGTGAAAAACTCCCCTCGGGTGTCAAAACCCAAATCACAGGTCGCGAGTCAAAATTGTATTGATTGCGCGCCTCACTGTGCTAGCAGAGAATCTAGGTAGCTGGTTGCTTTCGCCATCCTCCTCAGGAACCACTTCGGTGCATCTAACACCGAGGGCCTGAAAAAGATTGAGAAATCCTGATGACATTGCAGGAGGGATCACTCACTGTGATCTGGTCCACATTTACATTCACCGCACCACCTTTGAGGTAGACTAAATCCGTTACGAATGCGGAAATTGGATACATTGTTTGTGCGTTTCCCAAGCCGTACGGTTGATGCTGGTATTGGGTATTGAGAGTGCGAGCTATGGATCTGTGAGACATGTCAGAAAGGGTATCAGAATAAAACCAAGGTGATTGCACACTGTATGTAATCGACGGCAGAGTATCCAGCGGTTTCTCTATCATTTTCACTGTTTACTAAAGATGTTGAAAGTGAGTGAATGCTTCGAGAAATTCTCCCTACTCACAGAGCAGAATCTTGGCGCGAAGTGTATCAGAACCTGCGATAGCGCGGGCTACTCCCTGCAATGCTAAGCATGGCATGATACTGGAAATCGCTTATGAGAAGTAAAGTATTGGAATATTTGAGAGCCTTACCTCGTCCAGAGCGAACCACAAGAATACACCAGTGCATTGTTAGTCCTGAGACTCGACAGATAATCTGGATTTGGGGAAGGATGAATCTCAATCCCGTATGCGTTAATGTAAAGGAGCCCTATTGGGAAGTACATTCAACGTTGACCCTCATTGCGAACCAAGTGACAGACTGGATATCGGTGAGCTTAAAGGCTCATAATCGTCCTTGCCCTCTGCTTGGAAGAGGACGTTTCGTGTTTGGCTTTCCAGGCCATCAAGAGGAGACCACTCATCGGAATCAACGACGTTGATAATGGGGGCCTGTGTGATTGCGACTGGGTGAGAAATGTCGCACTGCCCGACAATTCTTTGCCCGTCTTCCTGTTGACAAATTTAACCCAGCAGTAATGGTAAATGAGAAAACACACCAGCTCGGCAGCAATGGTAACAGTATGATTTGTGACGATCACAGGAAGTATGTTTGCCTGACTGTTGGTGATAGAAGAGAATAGAAAAATTGCGGAAGGCAAAGAGCGGAAAAATCCTTGAGCGGCAGCTATGAAGTAGTTACCGATACTGAAGTAAAATTTCAATTCCAATCAACCAAATCAGTATGGTAGCTTACCTTCCGTTGACGAAGGTGAAATTCTTGTGCGCACGTTTCAATAATTCACTCTCGAAATACACCAAGAAACCTGTGCTCGTGCTCAGTGACTGCTTGTAAGGGATGAGCCAGACTCATGTACCACGGATGGTTTCCTTTCGGTCAGTTGGAATGCCATTCCAAAGAGCGCTCCTTCCCTCAACAATGTCTCTCCACTCCTCTCGAGCCTGCCGCTCCGAGTAATGGTGAGGTAGACGATAAGCAAGGAGGGTCCTGATAGCATTCAACGGCGAAGATGGTGGAGCTGGGGGTATGAGACGCACGAGCCTACTCCGAATATCGCCTTTCAACAACGATCAGTGATTTGGCGTTCAAGGTATACGTTAGAAAGACAATGATTGTACCAACAGATGGACCACCAAGAACACGAATTATCTCGCTCGAGGAACCGCCGTCGTCCGAAACTGGCAGCACATAACATGCATTGGGGAATGCTGTGCATATTGCGTTTCCACCCGTCCCTCCAGAAACGAGAACAAAGGAATTAGAGCCCAGGAATTTTGGTTCATGAGCAGTAATATCGCGCAGTTCGGTCAACGTGTCTATTGCTGGTGGACGTATTTCCAAGCGGGGATTAGAGCGGGCTGAGATTGTATTTTGGATTGGGAGGTCAAATACAGAAGAGCCAGGACTGTCGACACCATCAAGGTGAACCCCCAGAGTTGAGAATGAACTGCTATTCGTGATAGGATCCATTAAGAGCAGGAATAAATCTCTCGCGGGCCGGACTGATGCAGTTCTGATTCCGACTCTCACCCTTCTCAATGGGAAACTTTCGAGTTGCAACTTGAACTTGAACTTGATTGCAACGCTGAGCTCAGATTTTCCCAGCACCATGACCCCCTTTCCAGCACTTCCTGGATTCTATCGGCTTCTCTTTCTGTATTTTGAACCTGGTGAATATTCATATGCATTTGCAGGTTGAATTGTTCGACACTAAATTAACATCTAATGTAGTTTCCACAATAAGCCCAGCTCTTCTGATATGGCTATGGCCTGGCGCAACTTGGTTTCATCATCAGCTAGTCCCCAGTCTTGAACCTTCGCCGCCCTCTAGTTCTTTGGATGCTCATACCGTTCTCGCCGTATGGCAGCTTGGCAACTGTTCGTATGGATTTGCAGCACTTCTACATACTGATGCCCTGGTGTAAATTTCGTAATTTCTATCACAGGTTACATGCTCCTCGGCTTGATTTCATCTCTGGTTTTCCGGGCAGTACGAGACGCACTTCGTGGGAACCCCGTTGCACAAGAACGTATTATTGGCTCTGCCCTTACCGCTTTGGCGATTGCGGATGTGAGTTTATCATGAATATCTCAATATGTATGTCATCCTGCTCACTGGATCTATATATGCTTCATTCAGATCACTCAGTCAGCAGTGCAGATGCTTCATGATTACCTACAAAAAAACTGATCCCTGTGATTTTGGACAGTGTTTTGGCAACATTCATTGGACTGCCTTCCGACTTGCAATTCAACATTGTGTCCTGGAACGGTACCACCCATGGAAATATCACATTCACGCTGTTTCTTTTCTCTGTCAGGTATGTGAAACTTCCTAATTATACACTATAATACTTGAATAATGCTGAGGCTTCTGACAGAATTGCGTGGTTTCTAGGCATTGGAAGACGTCGGTACTACTATGGTCAGTCAAATTTGAATAAAACACAATAAATTCAATACTACTATGTACCATACATATATATAAATTACTCTTCTGCAAAGTAACTGTGCCACGACCCTCCAAATCCTATCGCGAGAGTGAAAGGTTTGATATCCAGCTTGGTTTGCCAATGTCATTTGTTTGTGATAATGTATCGCCTTGGTGGGGGTGGTGGTGTGCGTACTCGTCGACTTTCTGTCGTGGTGGCATCCTCATAATAACTGGACAGTTCTTCAGACATGTCCGGCGGTGCAAGATCAAGTGCCCTAGTCCCTTGCTGTGTGTTCTTCTGCCATGCCAAGATAGACTGGATACGACGATCGTTCTGAGAGCTGGAACTCGAATGCGGGACCACTGGGCGTGTTAATGCCGGAGTATCTAGCGACATATGTGTTTTTTGTGAGTGTTTGTTGAAAGGACTTAGCAACCTCTTCCAAGGGGGGCTGGCAGTTTCGACAGCTGCAGGAAGGGATTTTTGTCTGCGTTGGTGGAGAAAGAAAAACACCCCGCATAGCAAAATCAGGACAAAACCGCCAACCGTTCCTCCGATAACTGGCGCTAGAGGAACTCTTTTCGATCCGGGCGCAGCGTTGTTGTGAGAGACACCGTCTATGGAAGAGTCAATAGTATTGTGTCTGTAGCAAGACAGAAATATTAGAGCTAACTAAATCCTTGCAATATTAGACTTTGGGTTGGTGCTCACGTTGTATATATTATGGAATCAAGTAATATGATGGCGTCCTTACCATCTTCCTCGCCGCTCTGTATAAGCAACTGGTGACCCGCCGTTGAGAGTGAGGTATTGCGGTAAACAACAACGTCATATTGCCACTCGTCTACAGTAGCAGACATTGGAGGGTATGATCCTACTGCATCTCCGTCTATGAAGAAATTCATCTGAGTTGTGATACTAGATACAAAATGAACAGCTGCAGAAGAACAGTTTTATCATTCACTCACTTGGTCGAAGGTGGAACAATACAGATAACATAGACTGCGGTCCCTAGACTCAGAAACTTCGTTGAACGACATACCAAGAATGTTGGGTATTTGACATTTACCCATAAATTGGAATGATGCATAACGAGAAGTACCAGGTCTCAACGCCCCACTATCTAAGCTGGAAGACTGACAATAGCTGGTAAGTGCTATTTCAAAACTGATAGCAGGTAACTCACAAAATACGATTCATGCCATGTGCGATTATAGGCTTGGTTTGTAGATAGAGCTGAATGGTCCGGGCAATAATCACAGTCAGGTGCAATGCTCCAGGCTTCAGTGGGTGTATATAAGATTTGAGAATGAGTGTAAGGATCGCCGAACTGGTCGTCGACAGTGACATTAACGAGTGTGATGGCCGTTGAGGCTGGGCACTGGAAATAAAAGAAAACGCAACTGAACAGAAACGTGACAAAGAGCATATTCAAGGCCAAGTAATTAAATTCGGAGGCTCTGAGTCTCAGTAATCAGTGGCAAGAAGGATCGGATAAAGAGAATTCGCTGCGAGGATAGAATTTAAGTAGCACCGGTGCACCAGTGCCGCCACTGCCTTTCAGCCTCTGTAAGTATTAAGTGGATGTCAAACACAGAGGTGAGTATTGTACTGCTTCTGCTCGTCTGCATCAGCGATAGATCTGTCGAAATAGAATTTCAACTGTTCGAAACTTTGCTGTTGACTGTAGGATCGTGTTAAGAATCAAAGTCCTTGGAGACCTGCACACATCGAAAACTCAGCCGAGAAGCCTTTTCCGTTTTCCCGGTGATTCTCGAAGTCGACCAATTGAATAATCGAGTAACGATAAGTGCTGGATACCAATGATCATGCGTACATATCCTCTGTCGACACAGGCTGTCATTTGCAATTGCGCGTGGCTGATTATACCGGCCCTTTGAGTAGATAGAACTCCTATTTATGCAGAAGATGGCAAGTTATATAAATTTCGAATTTTGGAGGATACCCTATTAAAAGACATCATACCGTCTTAGAGGAAACCAGGCGAACACCTTCATCAAGGTATTTGATCCTCATTGGCAAGCTGCGAAGGGGGAGGAGCGGGAGCGAGCGCGCGTCACCTTGGGCGCTACATGATGCCAGGCGCTAATTTGTGATTCTTGATCTAGTCTTGACCTCAGGCCTGGTCTTGACTCATTTGTCATGTCCTCCGAAGATATCGCAGAGGAAATCAGAAACTCCTTCCCTGGCACCGAAGAAGTAATTGTCCAGTATTTATCTGGCTATTTGGTCGATGATGCTGGCGAAGAAGAGGATGTTTTGCAAGTTGCTCGTGAGATGCTGGAGTCATTAGCTGGGGGTCAAAATGCGGAGCTGGAGAAGCTCATGAATCGACTGGGGGACCTGCTTGAAGACATGCTTATTGCCCGGCAGAAACGCAAAACTGGTCCCAAACTGCTTCAAAAATTGGATAAAGTGATGGATATGAGCAAAACCCAAATATCAAGTACGATAGCACTGGGAGAGGGAGTTGATTTGGAGTCAATCAATAAGGGAAAGTGAGTAATATACGAAACCAATGCAATATCGAACACTCAAACATGGAAAAATTACACAGAGCATCCAAAGTAGATGTGAAGAAATTGGAGAAACAGGAAGCAAAATTGAAGGCGAGGCGAATGATCTTCCGATGGGCGAAATAATATTCATGTTTGCCATAGGCCAAGATAGAGAAACGTTCGCGGAGGGACCTCTACGAGGGATCCAAACTGCTAGATGCTCACCGGAAACAGGTCAGTTGCGCTCACTGCAGTTTGTAGAAGTCGCTAACAAACTAGCACGACGTGTAGCAAACTTACGAGGAAATGTTTATGAAAGTAAGCATCATCGTACTCATCATTTCTCTCCGTATCTGATGGTAAAACTCAGATCAATCCGTTAGAGGCAGCCAACTCGAGGAACAAGAGCAAAGACATACACCTTCCCTCAATTGACGTCAGCTTCGGTTCAAATCGTATTCTGTGCGTTTGTCCTTTAGCTGATGATAACATATCATGAACATCTTCACAAAGATCTGGTGCAACTTTGACGCTCGCCCATGGAAGGCGATATGGTCTTATTGGTCGGAACGGTATGTTTCCCGTTGACATCTATGACTACTCCGAGACTGAAAATGTGGTAGGTGTCGGTAAATCGACACTCTTGCGCCACATCGCGATGAGAGAGGTCCCAATTCCAGCTCACATTACGATTCTTTTCGTTGAACAGGAGGTGTGTGCTCTAGTCCAAATATCAGATGCAATTAACAGTTGCTATTAGATTATTGGAGACGATACAATCGCTATTGACTCGGTATTGAAGGCTGATGTTTGGCGTGATCACTTGCTGAGAGAGGAGGCCTTACTTAACGCGAAGCTAACCGAACTTGAGGGCGAGGGCGATGACAAACGGTTCGAGGATGCAAGAGAAGAGGCATCTTCACGGCTGGCTGAAGTTCATGCACGTCTTTCAGAAATGGACGCGGAGAGCGGACCAGCCAGAGCTGCAGCTTTACTTGCCGGTACGGGTCTCTTATGTTGTCTTTGTCAAAAAAATCTGTTGCTAATCGGTTGAAGGCCTGGGATTTGACGAAGCGGATCAGAGGCGACCGACAAAATCGTTCAGTGGTGGTTGGCGGTGAGTGTAGCATTGTTATTACGAGGCGATTACTGAAGGAACATGAAGAATGCGTTTAGCTCTGGCGCGTGCGTTGTTTGTCAAGGTGGGCCTGCCTTTTACGTGTCTCAACGTCAGTCATCGATTAATCCTCGAAATACAGCCAGCCCTCTTATTACTCGATGAACCTTCAAATCACAGTGCGTTCAAGTAAACTCTACCGTTTGTTGATCAACTCATCGATGTTCCAATTAGTCGATCTGAACGCCCTTGCCTGGTTAGAGGATTATCTTCAAACCTGGGCGGGAACTCTTCTAGTTGTGTAAGTCTTGAGAGCAAAATTCAACTCTAAATCCGAATTCAACGCTGTCTTTCCGAGATAGATCTCACGATCGAGCTTTTCTGTGAGTGCAAAGCTTCTACGAAACGTCTGTTCAAGTAGCTAAGCCACTCAGTGATGCAGTTGCAACGGATATCGTTCATCAGCATTCGGGCAGATTGGACTATTACAAAGGGTAAGCGGCTCGATCAACTCGAAGTTGACTGGAGATCGATTCCGTTCCAGAAACTTCACGCAATTCTATTCTACTAAGTCAGAGCGGGATCGAAACCTACGCAAAGAGTACGACGCTCAGATGGATTACCGCAAGCATTTGCAAGCGTTTATCGATAGATGGAGATACAATGCTAATCGCGGTAAATCAAACCGATATCTTGAAAATAATTAGCATATTAATTCTCTCCACAGCTGCCCAGGCTCAATCGAAAATCAAGATTTTGGAAAAGGTGTGCCCCAACTATGTATGACGGAAGGTCGTAGAACCATCATTGATGCTTGAGGATGTAGCTACCTGACCTTGAACCACCTGAAGAGGATGAAACAGAGAATTTCAAGTGCGTACAGACACCCTTCTTCCTATCCTTGCTCAATTGTTGATGAATGAATTAGATTCCCGGAAACGGAAAAAATATCCCCTCCCTTATTGCAGATGTCCGAAGTAACGTTCGGTTATACCCCTGAAAAAATCATTTTGAATGGTGTCAGTTTTGATGTCGGATTGGACTCGAGAATAGCTATTGTCGGAGCTAACGGTTCTGGAAAATCTACACTGTTCGTCGTTTCTGCTGACTGTTGACTGTTGACTTACCGAACTATAACAGAGTCAAGATACTAACAGGGGAGCTAAATCCATTGGGCGGGCAAGTGAATCGGAATGGTCGACTACGAGTGTGAGTTTGCGTTGACTTGTTCAGGATTCTTTAAGCTCACTTTGACCAATTCAGAGGATACTTTGCCCAACACCACGTTGATTCTCTCACACCGACAATGACACCCGTTCAATTTCTGGCCTCCAAATTTCCGGGAAAGACCGAGCAAGAGTACCGTCAACATTTAGGAAACTTCCAGATCAGCGGTATGACAGGGTTAGTCCGTCTTCATAAGTGGGCGAACATTCCTGACCCGAGGTGTCACTTTTCAGCCTTCAATTAATCGGTACTTTGAGTGGAGGTCAAAAATCTCGTGTCGCTTTCGCGGCTCTTTCCCTTCAAAGACCACATATCTTATTGTTGGACGAAGTGTGTCATTTCCTATGTTCATGCTTCTCGAACCTAACCGTCTACAAACATAGCCTACCAATCATTTGGATATTGAGGTACATTCTTTTCAAAGTTACTCTCTGGCCTTTCTTATGGGTTCGACAGGGTCTGGACGCTCTTATGGAGGCATTGAACTCGTGGAATGGAGGTGTGATCATCATATCGCACGACGAAAGGTTCATCACGAACGTCGCTCAAGAAGTGAGAACCAATTTCACCGGGATACTAATTGTATCTCTAATGTTTCTCTTCCAGCTGTGGGTATGTGCCAATGAGACCGTCAGCAAATTCAGAGGGGATGTTCAAAGCTACAAGGTCCGTTGCATGTACTTTTCCTCCCAAGCTGATCTTTGACCCTTATTCTCTTCGGTTCAGAGCTTAATCGTGAGCAACATCAAAATGAAGCCCTAAGTAGACCATTTACTGTAATCTTTGCCCGATGTGTATCAACATATCTAACCGGTGTATCGATGTTTACAAAAAGTTATCTGCCAACCCCCTTTAGGATTCTTATGACTGACCACCATTTTATGCGTACGGACTTCGTTGCACCCCATCTGTGATAACTAATGGGCCGAATTCAATGACAGTTAGCCTAAGAATGTTCAAAACCAAAAAGTGCCGTCCAACGTTGAAAGGACACGTTTCACTTACCTCTTCTGTCGAATGGTTGGTATCTGACGGTATTCGATTTGTCTCTGACTTTGTATAGGGTTGTTGTAGTCATGATCACATTCGTTCAGGCATTCGTTTAGTTTCCTTTACTCCATACTATCACCTGCTTTTTCAAGTTTATGGGCTAAGTCCCGACCCCGTCGAATCGTGCTCATCATTCCGAGTTCCGACAGACTCTGTATTTACAGTAAGTTTTACAGTGGTGTTCTCGTATACAGGATCACATTTCTTTACAAAAACTCCAGATCCCTAGCTTCTTTCCATCGAGTTTCAAGTCTAAATTATGCTTCGCTGTCCACACCCACTACACATCGACTAGCCCCTCCCGACTCCGTCGAATCATGTTCATCATTACCCAAGTCCGGCATCTCCAACATTCAATATCAGTCTAACAATTCTTCCTCCCCCAAAAACACCGCCGCCGTCACCAACTGCATAACTCACATGCCCACTCGACTCGGAGTCAAGAAGCCATGCTATACACTTGAGGTCTTTGAAATGAAGACCTTTCGCTGCTCGAGCCTAGTGCACTATCCCTCCCGGGGTTTTTGACATGGCGGGTATGGACCGTATATTTTTGATCATTTTATCTAATCATTTACAATGCAACCTCGGTAAGTAATTCGCTACCTGTGCCATCACCACCATGGGTAACTATGAATAACCATGAATAGGCATGAATAACAGCTGAATACCAAGTATATTACGAATTTCACGATGAGCCTACCCAACTGACATGGGAACCATGTGCGTTGAATGTTATACCATTGAAGCCGTGTGCTTTGTTCCGTTGTACTCGACAGAATATGGTGGTTCTCCTGGTGTTTCGCAAGGTCGAATTCGGAATTCAACATGTCTGCCACTGCATGACCTAGAAGAGGAAATTGGAGGGATATGTATAAAATGGTCTGAAGGATTCCTTGAGGTTCAGTAGAGCTTCTGTTCGGGACCTGCTTCGAGACAACTGCAAGTATAAAAGCCTCGTCTAACTCAAGAATCTACTAGTTATTACACGATGATGAAGTTGTCTCTCCTCCTCTCTGCGCTCGCTTCTGCCTCGACTTTGGTTTCTGCCCAACATGCGGTGAATTCTCTGTTTTCTCTCGAATGTCAATTATTCCTCATTACACTTCAACCCATCATGCACCCCTACAGTTTACCCTGGTCAACCACTGTGGATCGTCCATCACCCCCATTGTAGCAAACACGGCCTGTGGTTACAGTCCTCGTGCGTATTATTCAGTCCCTACAAACCCCAAATAACAACTCAATATAATCCTTTCAATCACCATGATCTTTCTAGGCTGCTCCGGAGCTGGATATTACAGTTCGTAAACCAGATCCATTTCCCTGCTGCTCCTCGTTTCCTTTATTAACGAACACCTCCCGGAACAGCCGCTGCTCAACCAGGTGTCCTCGGAGCCGGAGCGAGTGAGACCATCTCCATCCCCGTCGACGTGCGTTGGTCTATCCTAAACTGCCTAAATTTCTCGTTAAATATTACCTTTCTTTACTGTCTCTCGATGGTGAAAACGTAAAATCCTTAGTGGGTCGGTCGTATCTTCGCTCAAAACGGCGCTTGTGGTGCCAGCGGTGAAGATTGCACGATCACTGAATTCAACTTGGGTGCGTACACACACGATTTCCTTGGGCTCAAGTTCTTCCCCCCCCCCCTCCCCCTCCCCTCTCTAATCATTGACAAAATTCTCAAATATCCTCGATATAGACACGGGCGACTTCTACACCCCCCAAGCGTACGACATCTCCAACATCCAGGGCTTTACCCAATCTATCGAAATCGCTGCCGCGGGTTGTGATACCGTTACTTGCACCAACGTGAACTGTGGTGTGAGTGTTCCCCTTTCCCTTTCCTCTCCCTTCCTTGCTTTCCTCCCCCCTTCTGCTCGTCCCCTCCCTCCACATTTCTTCTTCTTCGTCCATTGTCAGCCCTGCTTATCTCGTTGACACCACTCTCTTCCGGTCCCTATTTGCTCCTGATGATTCACACTACTAATCCTTCTTTTCCCCCTTAAAACCCAACAGTGCACAGAAGCGTACCCACCAGGTGTAAGTCATTCTCCTCCCCCCTCTCCTTGTGTCTATCCCTATCTCTTCTTCCGTCTTGACTCATCTTACCTGTTCTCTTTCCTTACCCTTACTCTAGGACGAATCCGGGTGCGGAGACGACTCCCCCGTGCGCGCATGCGGCGCCGGAAACATCGCTTTCACAATCACTTTCTGTCCCTAAACGGTTTAAATCTAAACCTACCCTACTTGAACCTGATCCCCGCCACCTTCTTCTACGGGTCTTTGGATTCCTCAACCAAACAAGGGATGTATGGGTTGTAGAGACAGGGCTAACTAACACAAAGTAACTTATGTACATACATAACACAACCGTGTATCAAAAAAACTAAAGTTATTTCGGATGTTCGTGTTGCATAACACGTTTGAAAACCTCGAACACAACACCGTTGGTGAAGTGGTTATCATGCTTGCCTTCCATTCGATTGGCTTAGCAAGCGGCTCGGGTTCGATTCCCGAACGGTGTATCAGATAGCCCAAGGTGTGAGACAACTTGGGTTTTATTTTTTCTTTTCCCAAATCCCCAATCTCTTTTTTGTTTTTATTCTCACGAATCTTATTTACGATCATCTACCACCATTTGGGATGACCAAATCTCTCTGACCAAAATTTCATCCTGTACACCTTATTTATGAGATTCTAGACATTTATTACAGGGGCGATACAAAGTTTCTACCACCCTAAATACATTTTCAAGGGAGGGTATAGTTGTGCCAGGCTCTAATCAGCATAAAAATCTGTTATCAAGCAAAAACTAGCATTTGGGATGAGTGAGACCCCAGCACAGAAGGCCTGTTCTTGTCTTACCTGGACTGGGCCTAAGTAAACATGGAAGGAGAAGTGTAGCTGATACAAGTGGGGTTCTTTAGGGAGCTTAGGAAGCAATGAAGCAGAATAGGGAACCTAATTAGGGGATGAAGGATGGATGGTAACTCAAAGGAGAGGCATAGACAAGGATTGAAAGAAAGAGACCAGAAAGGGGAAACAAAGAGATGAGACAGAGATGAAAGAAACAGATGAAACAGATAATGAGGAAATATACAATGGATGAGAAGTGTCAGGCCCTGTTAGCAAGTACTTGTAAGAGGGACCAAGCCAAGTTGGATAAGTTTCCAAGTAAGATTTGACAATAACATGCTGGGAAACTCAAAGAGGAGTCCCCAGCCTATATATTGTACATGAGGCTGACAGGTACATATGTCATATGGCTACTAGAGTAACAGGTAATACATATTGTGAAGATTGTAAGGATGGTGCATAGAATAGTGGTAACACACAGATCAGTAATGGACTGGAGTTTGGGAGATATGAGGGAAAAGTCTAGAGATGCAATGCACACTCTGTTAAGATCATGTACACCGGAAAGCCATGCCAAGGGCCGTTCAGTGTCTAAGTGCGGAGGGTCGAATGGGACAGTGGTGAAGTTATTGACAGCACCGCCATTACGCCGCTAGTCCCTGGAGAACGATAGTAGAAGAGAGGCACAAGAAGCAGCCAAGTTGGCAACGGCAATAATGCTGACAACAAGGAGCGGACCAAAAAACTTGTAAGTCCTGAGGTCAGAGTAGTGAATACTCAAGGGAAGGATCCTTAAGGCTTCAGAGAATAGAGAGTGACAATCTAAGATGATAATTAAACTGAAGAACTACAGTATGGTACAGGAGTATTTATACCTATGGATCAGTGTAACAGAGCAGAGCGCCAGACTCACTACTAGGGGCTATACATATAGTGCTTTCAGGGTAGAGACTAAGTAGAAAGGGAATGTGTAGCAAGAAAGAACAATAAACGGTAGATCTTGGAGTACCGAGCGCCGGAGCAGGATATATATATAAGGGTGGCGAGGCATGGTCTTGACAGTTATTTAGATTTGTGAAGGAAAAATTTAAAATTTTACAAGTGTGCAATGCTGGTGCAAAAGATTATTTTCACCTGATGCAAAAGATCATTTTTATCTCATGATAAATAAAACATCAATCAAACAAAAACATATACAAAAAAATAGACAAAATATCTAGTATGAAATATGATCAATTTTTTTTTTGACCAGGAAACACAAATTTAATTGATTAACCCAAGGCAAGGGGAATTGCCAATTGTTCTTTGAAATTTTGCTTTATATTTGTTGGGTTACGGGTGGGGAAAGTATGGTTTGTCAGGTGGGACTTGACAACCAGTGAATTCAAATCTTTTTCACAAATTGGATTAATATCAATATCAATGTCAATGTCAATGTCAACATCTGATAATCCATTCCAATATAAGTAACAACATCTGACAACCAACCTATGATACTTGTCTTGATAAACAACACACCTCTGATCAAAGTATGTATGTAGTAACAACAAATATTATAATTAGATTAATTGTTTTTTTTCTTTTATGAGGAGGAGGAGGAAGGGGGAATAAGAGGTGAGTGAATAGCCCAAATTCTGGAATTCCAATTCCAGTTCCAATCCAGCAACCCAAAACCGGTCCCGGTCCCAATCCAATCCCAATCCAATCCCAATCCCAACCAAACCAGCAACCCAACAGCCCAATATCCCAACATCCCCCTTCCCCTTCCCCTCCCTCTTCTCCCTCTCTCTCCCCGCCCACCAAAAAAACAGAAAAACAGAAAAAAAAAAAACCCAAAATATTGGATGAAGGAAACGAATGACCACCGCAGGGGTCGAACCTGCAATCTCCTGATTACTCAATTAACATTAACGGGAATATCATGCCATCATAGTCAGACGCGATGCCATTTCGCCAGGCGGCCTATATGTTTGGGATGGGTGTGAGGGGGAGATATGGGGTGTGGTGGTTGGGTTGGGTGTTGGGGTGTGGTGTGGGGTGTGGGGTGGTTGGGGTGTAGGTTGGAGCGGAAGGTGAGATGAGACGGAGAGTTGCAGGAGATTCGATGTGCATATGTAAGCCAGGGAATCGGAATCAGGGGATCCCTGATACTGACAGTGACACCGAGAGAGGTAGAGAGAAACCGCTAACTGGACCGTTCAAACACGTTCAAACGCGGCGCTGAATATGACTATAACTGAGCAGGCTAAGAGCGGAAAGGCCTGCGGAAAGCTGTATGTTAGTGCGATGTTTACTGTGTATGTCAGCGCTCGGGAGGAGGACGGAGTACGACAGAGTACAACAGAGTCTAATGCAATGATTTCCAATCGATGGGTTGTAAGCCTGTCAATGTATCCATCGACCATGGCATGAGTACATCTGGATTCTGAGTACATGAGTACATGGCGTTGCGACATCTCGACGTTCCCAGCTTTCGGGATTGCCAGTGAATCGGATGAATCAGGATAAATCCCTGCTGATTCTTAAAATAAACACACACGTATCAATAGATATATGTACATATCAATCAATCAATCAAAGAGGATATACCAAAATGGATATACATACATAAAAAACCGTATCGTTGTTGTTACGGGTTAGTTATAACACACGTTTAACCCATCTAACAACACAAGTAACATCCAACAGTAACATCCAATAGTAACATCCAACGGTAACAGTAACAAGAAACACGGGCGCGATTCAGATATCTATCTATTATTGACACCCACACCGCTTTTCCCAAATCCGAAATCCATGAGTTCTTTTCCTGTACCACCACCACCGGCACCGCCATCGCAGCCATCACTGCCCTCGCATCCATCGCATCCATCGCATCCATTGCATCCATCACAGCCATCACTGCCATCGCTGCCATCGCTTGATTCGCTGCAGCTGAATAACAAGGAATTGGTTCCGTCGTTTGTGCCTCCTCCACCTGCACTACCACCATCTTCATCAGTATCTTCATCAGTATCTTCGACGTTGACAGGATCGACGTTAACGTTCTCATCGCCACCGCCATCGACAGTAACAACCTCCGACGGAGGCAGCGCTCCACACCTCGAAGACCCACTCGTCGCACCCCGAGCACAAAAAGTAGATCCTGAGATACCAGCTAACGTGAGTTTTCTTGTCTTTTTGCCTCTGTTGTTTCTGTTTCTTAGACGTTGATTGGTAGATGGCACGTAATCTAGACGAATCACTCCGTGGAGTGTCGTCGCCTGTGCCAGCATTCAACAATCCTGGATACTACAACCCTGGTGGGTTCAACATCCCATCGCCTCAACCACCGTCGCAAGGATCGTTGCCGTATCCCAATCCCACACCAAACCCAAACCCGCATAGAAGCTACTACGGTGGATACGGTGGATACGGAGGACCTGTCGATGCTGGGTACGGCCAACAACAACAACAACATCCACAAAGGATGGTTTCACCGTCTCCAACGATATCTCAACACATCACCCACCCACCTTCTTCTTCCTCGTCGTCGTCGTCGTTGACCGCACCACTCCCCACAATCCCCAGTCTCTCCTCCTCTACCCCAACTCCCACAAGCGATCCAGCACTCAAAGTCTCCTGGTCCCGAGACGTCCTCTTCCTCATCGAACGTGCCCACGCACTAGCAAGTGGTACACCCCCAGGCGAACCAATATCCGGTCCAGTCCTCATCACCGACAAACCCCTCCTCGACCTCGCCCACATCGCCATCCCCTTCATCCTCCAAATCGCTTCCCTCCCACCTTCCCCCTCCAACCCCTACATCGCCGAATCAATCTACCACCGCGCCTCCCTCCTCGCCTCCGGTGCCTTCCCCTCATACACCCCCAAGAACCCCCGCAGCGCATTCCGCGACTTCGAATCCGCCGCACGCGCAGGGTACCCCAAAGCCTGGTTCCGCATCGGGCGCGACTACGAGGGGTTCGGGGACACCACACACGCGCGGGAGTGTTTCGAGCGCGGTGTCCGCGCCGGCGTCGCAGGGTGTCTCTACCGCCTCGGCATGGCGCACCTCCTCGGCCAACTCTCTCTCCCCGTGTCACACACAACCGCGCTCCCCCTCCTCCACCGTGCAGCACTCGCGTCTACACTCGACACCCCCCAACCCGCATACGTCTACGCTCTCCTCCTCCTCGGTGAATTCACCCAATCCCAAATCGATCCGGGTCTCTTCGCTCAACTGCACCTCCTCCCCGCGGGACTCATGCACCTCGGACCCAGGGGTCTCCTCCTCGAAGCCCGCACCCACCTCACCACCTCCGCGTACCTCCACTTCTCCCCGGCCCAATACAAGCTCGGCCACGCATACGAGTTCGCCACACCCCCATTCGAATTCGACGCTCTCCTCAGTGTGGAGTGGTACTCCCGGGCCAGCCAGCAAGGGGAAACCGAAGCAGATATGGCTCTATCCAAATGGTTCCTCTGCGGTTCCCGTATCAGTGGTCCAAACAACTCTCCCCCTTCCACATCCACCTCCCTTGGTGGATTCGACAAAGACGAACAACTCGCCCTCATCTTCGCCTCCAAAGCCGCCCACAAAGGTCTCCCCTCTGCCGAATTCGCCATGGGGTACTACCACGAAGTCGGTATCGGGGGTCCCATCGACCTCGACGAAGCACTCCGGTGGTACGCTCTTGCCCAGAGACACGGGAACACCGACGCCGGGGAGAGGTTGGCGGCGCTGTCGCAGCCGGCGCCACAGGTTCTTTCAAGGGTGGAGCACGATGAGATCACGGAGAGTAAACTCGTGAGGAGTCGGACGAGGGCGAAGGAGAGGAGTGAGGCGCAGAAGGTTAGGGATGGGTATTTGGCGGGGCAGCCGCAGCCGCAGCCTCAACCACAGACTCAAGGACAAGGGAGGAGAAGAGATTCTAGACAAGTGGTTGATCTGATTCGGAAGAATACTTTGGGGAGTTATCAACCACAACCACAACCACAACCACAACAGGCACATGGAAGATACCACACCGAGGCGAGTACTCTTCCTCCGAATCAAGTCGGTATCACTATCTCTCGTCCTCCTTCCGCACATCCCCAACCTCCTCACTCTTATCAACCCCAATCCCAACCCCAATCCCAAATTCCACCTCCCTACACCCAACCTCCCCTCCCTTCTTCTTCCACCCAAAACCAAAACCCCATCCCCACTCAAAACCCAACTCTCCGTCCAGGACCCTCTGGACCCTCTGGAAACCAATCCTACCCCACAGCAAACAGATACACACTCGTCGATCCCGGATCCGGATCCGTTCCGCGCAGCGATAGGGGTGATAGTCGATCTCCGTCCAACAGGGGTGACAGAGGTGATAGAAACGACAGAGGTGATAGAAACGACAGAGGTGATACCCGGTCTCCATCCACCGGACCCGGTGGACCTGGTAGCAGACCCCCTCCCAGACGAGGTCCAAGTGGCGGGATCGTCGTTTCGGGTGGTGTTTCCACTTCCTCTCCCTACAACACCTCCAGTAAACCCTCCAACCCCTCCAACCCCAATTCCTCCAGTGGTAACAGTGGTAACAATACCACAGGAACCCCTACAGGAGCACCACCCCCTGCAGCTGCGGCTGCGGTATCCCCACCTCGACCCACCGGCCCCCAAACATTCGCAGAGATGGGGATATCGGGTGCGAAAGCTGAGGATGAGAAGTGTGTTGTTATGTAGGTTATGGGTGTGTAGGTAGGGTGCTTAAGAAGGTGGGAAGGAGGAGAGAAAGGGGGGTAGGGAAGGAGGAGAGGGAGGAGTGAGAGGAGGTAGGGAAGGTGGGAAGGAGGAGAGAGAGGGGAGGGAGAGAGGAAGGAGGTAGGGTTATATCCGGACCAATTCATAATAACAATCTCTGTCTTGCTGTACCTGTCGAGGGTGTTTTTGAACTTTCGAACTTTTGAACTTTTGAACTTTTGAACTTTTGAACGATTGAACTTCTGAACCGTAGAATCACATATATACATACCTCTCATATAATCGAAACCAGTCACTCGAAATTCCTCAATCCCTAAAAAGTCACTCCGAACGATAATGGCCGCCTGGCGAAATGGCATCGCGTCTGACTACGATAAAATATTTCTTCAAGGCCTGTTGTAATCAGGAGATTGCAGGTTCGACCCCTGCGGTGGTCATTTTTGAGGTATAACTTGAATGAATATTTTTGTTTTAAGTTATGTTCGATATAGTATGTAGTATTATGCCAGTGGTGAGGTACCACGCATCACGCATCTTCCTCGCTATTCCAGTGGCCATAAACTGGCGGGGGTTCCTGCCTGTTCCTGCCAGGTGTATGTATGTATATTGTGCGAGAGATTCGCTATAAAGGCGTTTGAGGAGACTTCGAGTCCAACAACTCAAATGTGGTCCACCAGGCAACCAACGTGCCACGCACACCCAACGACGAATGAAGCACTCCGTCGTAGGCGGGGGGTACCATCGAAACTTCCCCCCGATTGTTTGTACATCATGATATTGTGAGGGGGGGTTTTTTTTCAACCTTCGTCCCTCCCGGGCCACCCCCCCTTCTCTGTCCGCTGAATACAGTGGATAATGAGAATCCACAGGAAACTACAGGAAAGGAAAACTCGGGATGGAAGAATCGAGAAGCGCGTGAGGCATTAATTATCATGATCATGGTGCGAACCAGGTACGAACTCACTCAATACGTTGATGGGTGGGTCGGGCTGCGCGTAGTTGGCAATGCGAATTTGCAGCCTGCGGGGTTTAAACCTGTTTAAACACGTCCAGGTGAATGATGAATCTCATTGAGCCCCAGGCTACCCCTGCAAAGTCCCATTGCCGATTCAATTTGAGGGGTTTTTGTCCTTCGCCCCTTCCCGTCGCTCCAGGTCGCAGCATCACCTATGTAGCATCACCTAGCATCACTCAGTAGTCCGTTGTAATACCAGGTAAATACCTCATTTCAACTGACTGAGGCTGATTGGCCGGCTGCAATAAATTCTGGACAATCCCGAACCGAAAAGTTTTCCAAAGGCTCATTTTTAATATAAAGACCACCCCCTCCCCTTCATCCATTTGAATACCCAGAGCTAGCCTCGGAAAAAAAAACCTTACAGTGCCGTGCACCCGATACTCCAAATATACCAACTCGCACGTTTTTGTTCTCCGTCTTTCAACTCGCGCGTTACTTGAATTCCACCATGGTTCTTTCACGCATCATTCTCACCGCTTTGCTCGCTCTTGGGAGCATCACAGTCGCTCTCCCTGTTGCCCCCGGGGACCTTGGTACCACGCCAACACCTGGATCAGGTGCTCCTCCACAAGGCAGTCTCGGTAAGTACCACGATCAATGTTCTTCCTTGTCGATCTCTAGTAGATATATTTCCACTTTTCTTTTTCCTCAGCGGTCGGAGGTGGTGTTCCTCTTGAAAATCACAACAAACCTGAGGTTTCTCTGCTTCTGGGTGGAATAACGCCTCAGGGAAATCAAGCTAGCAACAGTGTTTCACGAACACAATCATCATCTGCTGCCGGAAGCTCATGCAATGTCCCGCCGCTGGCGCAAGGTGACGAGGCTCCACCCCCGCCTCGTCCTTCTGGCGAAGAAAAGGCAGGTATGTATACATTTTTTTCCCTCCCTAGCCCCACGCAATTTTCGACCCAACATTGAACTGCTATGATTATAGATCTATTGCGACGAATGGCTTTGATCAAAAACCACCCCAACGTGCACAAAAATTATAAGGCACGAGTCGAACGACTTGCTAATACCTTGCAACAGAAAGAAGAACTTGATACAGCCGCCGACAGAATGAATATAGCTCAAGATAGCCGTGCCGTGGGCATCCTTTCTTCTGTCATCGAGTATTATCTGTTGCCTCACAATGGTAATCAGTCCTCTTGTTTGTTTGACCCCTCCCAATGTTGACAGATATATATATTGCTATTTCCAGGGTTCGAAGGTGATAGCAATGAAAAACTCGAGAAAATCCGCGAAGCTTTCAATAATGGTGAAAACGTGGACGTCATCCTTCACATCGTCCGTTTTGGTAACATATGTTAACTTGAGACGCTTACCATCACCTCCAATTGGGTCGAGCAATTACCTTGTAACCACAATATTATAGTTGGTTGAATGGTTGGATATTTGAGAAGTTGTCAAAATTAGCGGAACGCTTCGGAACAGCGCTTGGTCCTTTTAAGTTCTTTTTGCGCGCAACCAACCCTTGCATCTTCCTCGATGTTTCCCACCGTAAACTTTGAAGCTGAAGGCTTGACGAATCGCAATGGAACATCCCCACTGGGCAGGAGCCCTGCAAATTCTCATTCAATTTGAGGGGTTTTTGCCTTCGTAGGGCCCCTCTTTGTCCCCGTCGCTCCCTGTCGCAGCATCACTCCCCCTTCATTTAAGTATATAAACACCTCGTTTCAGCTGATTGCGCAATAAATTCCGGACGATCCCGAAACGAAAAGTTTTCCAAAGGCTCATTTTTAATATAAAGAACCCCCCTTCCCCTTCATCCATTCGAATCCCCAGAGCTGGTCTCGGAAAAAAAAAAACCTTACAGTGCCGTGCACCCGATACTCCAAATATTAACTCGCCCATTGCTCTGATTCCACCATGGTTCTTTCACGCATCATTCTCACCGCTTTGCTCGCTCTTGGGAGCATCACAGTTGCTCTCCCTGTTGTCCCTGGGGGTGGAGTCACTGGTACCACGCCAACACCTGGTTCAGGCGCTCGTCGTCTTCCTCGTATGCAAGGCGATGACTTGAAACCCAGTAAGCACCCAGGCTGTCAATGTTCTCCTTGTCAATTCTCTGATTCCCCCTTTTCCTTGACAATGAAAGATCTTGAAGCCGGTATGAAGGGATCGTCGATTTCCCCGCTCGCAGGTGAACCGTCGTCGCCCCATGGAGTTCCGCCACCAGGATCAAGCCCCGAGGTTCCTTTTAAGAAATTAAGCAAGCAAGGTGTGTGTCTGGATTTTTTCCCTAACCCCACACAATTCTCAGTCGACTTTAGAATATGATGAAGAATTGCGGCAAAAAATAGCGTTGATCAAAAATTTCCCTAATGTGCATAACAACTACAAGGAAATAGCAGACCGACTTTCTAATTGCATGGAGATGGACAAGAAAAAACCTTCAATTCCCTTATCTGCAATAATATTTCATGATACCGTGAACGTGTTCACCCTTGCAGATGTAATTCAGAATTATATGAAGCCTCAGTCTGGCGAAGGTAATCAGTCCTCTCGTTTATTCCACCTTCCCAATGTTGACAAGAGATATTGCTTTTTCTAGTAAAGAACCCAAAAATTGAGAAACTCCGCAAAGCCTTCAAGGAAGGTGATTACCCAGAAAACCTCCACGTGATTCTTTACGGTTCTCCGGAGCCTAGAATTCATTGATAGTGTGATATAGAGCACAGAATTTATGAAATATGTCGTATTTGATTTCGGTGAACACGATGAGTGAGATCCTGCCTACTGGGGATGGAACTGAGTTTCTACGCCAGCCTACAAATCAACGGTTCAAGGTTGGGGAACCTCTCCGGACTAAGGTTGTAAATATAAAGCTCAAAGTATTCTTCATCTCCTCGCGGGCTTTTCGACTTTCGAACTCTATGGGTCGAGGAAATTTCTTACACAGCACCACGTCGATCCCCTCGCTTTACTACTGTTCGTCGAATGTTGAGACTAGTCGAGGCTTTGAGTTTGAAGGGTGATTCCAAATGATCTCAAAGACCCGTTCAATATCGTCTAGAGGGATCGACGACGTAGGAGTTTGTAGAGCCGAAGGGATAGATAGATTCGAAGAAAGCAATATGTGAGAGATTAGATGTTTCGGAACGCCGTTTTTGTCTTTTTCTTCTTGCGCACAGCCAAGCTTGCGTGTTTTTTCAATGGTTCTTACTGTAAACCCTTCAGTGAAGCTGAAGGCCCGATGGACGGACGATTCATTCGTCCAAATCAAAATTTCTATGCTGTAGTCGCCGCTTGGAAGGGAAGGAAGGAAGGAAGGTATATTAAACAAAAGGAGATGGTGTGGCACTCAATATCGATGTTCAAACAATGGTATATCGCAGGCATGATTTGCTGTGCACATTCTTCGGACCCACATGGTTATATCGACTAACAACAAGTACACACCACTACTCTCTCCTCTTCTTCTCTTGGCGGGTTCCAACTAGCCCGCATTTTCGCTTTCAAAGGTCTCCCGTCCATCGAATTGGCCATGGAGTACTACCGCAAAGTCAGTCTCGGGTGCTACATCTTCGCCCGAACCCACGGGAGCACCAACGCCGGAGTTCGAGGAGTCGAACGAAGTCGAAAGAGAGGAGTGAGGCGGAGAGAGTTAGGGATAGACAGGTGGCCAATATAATTCGGAAGCACTGGCATACATTAGGGAGTTGTCGACAACCCTAGGGAGGGTATCACACTGACACGCGAATACCCTACCTCCAAATCAAGATCCACGAATGGGTGTGGGTACTTGTGGGTATTGATTCTTCCAATCCCCTCCCTTGCATAGCCTTGCGTTCAATCGAGTTCTCTCCTGGTAGCTTCTCCAAGCTATGTATGAAGAGTTTTTTTCAAAGCCTTTAGTGAATCTCCCGCACAATTTACATACCACCAAATGCAATCAGGTTAATGGAAGTGAATATTTATGCGAGTCGTGAGTCATATTGTCTGGGACTATTCAATCAGCGCTCAGCATGAGTCAGCATGGAATCGACTTCAAGCGACTAGTACTTAATTGAGGGGTTTTTGACCTTCGTCCCCGTCGCTTCCCTTCAGTAATCTGCTGTGAATATATACCTCGTTTCAGCCCTGCAACAAATCCGGACAATCCCGAAACGAAAGTTTTCTGAACGCTCATTTGTGTGAAGACCACCCTCCCCTTCCTCCCTTCGAATCCCCAGAGCTGGTCTCGAAAAAGAAATTTTACAGTGCCGTGCACCCGAAAGTACGAATCTCAACTCGACGTTTTCATTCTCCATCTTTTCAACTCGCACATTACTTGAATTCCACCATGGTCCTTTCACGCATCATTATCTCCGCTTTGCTCGCTTTCGGGAGCATCACAGTCGCTCTCCCTGTTGTCCCCGGGGACGTCACTGGTACCACGCCAACACCTGGATCAGGCGCTCCTCTTCCTCATCTACAAGGCAGTCTCGGTAAGTACACTGTTACCAATGTTTTCCTTGTCGATCTCTAATTCCCTTTTCTCTCTTCCTTAGCAGTGGGAGATGGTGTTCCTCTTCAAGACGGTATGAAAGGAGTTTCTTTGCTGGTGGGCGGACCGTCGTCGCCCCATGGAAATGCGGCTGGCAGCAGTATTTCACGGAGACAAGGACAAGGATCATCTGCTGACGGACGCTCATCCAATGTCCCGTCACCAGAACAGCTTGGAAATCACCTTCCAAGCTGTGAGAATTGTCGTCTTCGAGAATACATCAACCGACGTGTGTATAGATCTAAGATCTTTTCCTTCACCCCACGCAATTCTCAGTTGACTTTGTATTATGATAAAGGGCTGCGCCAAAAGATGGATATGATCCGAAAATACCACGGTTTGCACGAAAACTACAAGGCAATAGTAGACCGACTTTCTAGTAACATGGAGAAGGCACCGGAAACGCTTGATGATGACGACTACCTCGATATAATTAAAGATCGCGAGGCCGTGACCACCCTTGCTTCTGTAATCGAGCTTTATATGCCGCCTAACAAAGGTGATCAGTCCTCTCCTTTGTTCCACCTACAGTACCCAATGCTGACAGAGATATAATATATCGGTTTTTCCAGGGCCGCAAGGTGATAGCAGACAAAAAATTCGGAAAATCCGCCGAGATTTTGAGAAAGGTCACAACGCGGCTTCCCTCGAATATACCATCATGAATCAATAGTTTTTGGGTAACAGAAATGAATTTTATCTGATTCCGGTGAAATGCTTGTCATTGTCTGCTGTAAACTGGAACAACACGGACAGTGCTCATGGCGGAAAGTCTTTGTTTCATGCATGTCGAAGCTCAAATTATCTCCTCCCGGGATTCTCAACTTTGGCACTGCTTGAGACGCTTACCATCACCTCCAATCGGGGTCGAGCAATACCTTATACAACACACGAGGTTGAATGTTGGATATTTGAGAGTAGTCACAATAGCGGAATGCTTCGGAACGCGCTTGGTCCCTTTCTTCTTGTGCGCAGCCAACCTTGCATCTTCCTCGATGTTTCTCACCATAAATCTGGAGCTGAAGGCCTGATGGACTGACGGACTAACAATTCATTTGGCCAATTCAAACTTTTAATGCTGTGACGGCTACTTGCTGCGTGGAAGGAAAGGAGATGGCGTGTCGATGAATCTTCAAATGATGAATAGATAGATAGTATGTCGCAGGCATGACCGTTTGTTATCTACTTATTGATCTTTTAAGTAAGCAGAATCTGGATTCCCCGAATTTCTCTTAGCGTTCACATCCTTCTCTTTCGCTACTACTTAAGCTTCTATAAGCTTCCGCAAGCCGCCTTCTTCACCGCTGTGCACATTCTGACCCACACGGTTATCTTAACGAACAACAAGTACACACATATTTCGCTTCGAGCGATGAAAGGCAGCGGATTGAGTACACTGTAAGTAATGAGGCTGTCCAAGATCAGCCAAGATCATGGGTCGTATGCTATCGTCATCCCCAGGCTCCTCTGCGAAAACTGCAATTAGTGAAGGGTTTTTGTTTTGGCTCGGTTGTTGTCTTTCTGGAGGGATCGACGACCGAAGCCGAAGGGATAGATTAGAAGAAAGGAGTACTACTGTGAGACCAGTCTGAGGTAGCGGGCTATTTCGGAATGCCGTCTTGGTCCTTTTCTCTCTGTGCGTTTTCGCGACCGATTCTACAGCCGCTTACTACAACATCTCTGAGTAGACATTCCTGTTTCTCAAATTGCCTGATATACCGACTGCCTCCGACTCCCTTGAAAGCCATCCTGAATTTCAGTCAAGTTGTCTTCTTCACAATCTTCCCCCTGCCGCAAAAATTTTCATCGATTATCCCAACGAATCTCACGCATATGAGCAGATATGAGCTTATTCAGAGCGACAGAAGAATTAGCAAAGATGGTAGCCGAGTCGGATTTGAACTGGGCATCATGGATCATCATCGTCCCCATCTTTTTTTCCAGTCTCGAACTCTCCTCCCCCATTTCCTCCCCTCCCAACCACTTACCTTCAGTGTGACTTCTGGAAAATTCCGATTGGATTCCTGACAGAAGGCAAAATACACATGGACAGCATCAGCAATACAATGTGGTCAAGTTCATCAGCTGGTTCCAGGCCTGGTTCCCGTCATGGCTGCGAGTGGCCTCAGTATATCTGGCATCCAAGGTGGATTTTCCATCGACTCCTCCAAAATCCGCTGACAATCTTTTGCTTTTCTCCATAACACGCCTGAAGGTTCGTCAGTCGACACCTCATCAACCGCTCCGTTATTTCATCCTTCAGATTCTTAGCGTATATCACGCATACGAATGCTCAGAATCCAGAGCGACGGACTGCGACAGAGTAACCGGAAGACAAGGTAACCGATTCGGACCTGAATACCATGCTGAGCTGCTTGAACCATCATCGCCCCCAATCAGCGCCGTCTTCCCCTCGCAACCGTTCGCTTCCAGTTGCGCGTCCTTCCGAAAACTTCCGAAACGGTATAAGAGAACAGCAGTTCCCCCCAGTTCGTATACTCAGAGCTGGACTCCTAAAACTTTAGTGCCGTGCACATCCGATATCAACTCGATCTTCATTCAAGCTCTTTCCACCCACTCCAAATCTCTCCTGACATTCATAATGGTCAATTCATGCTCTATTCTCACTGCGCTTCTCGTCGTCGGGACTGTTGTACTCGCTGTCCCTATCGTCCCTGAGGGTATTATCAGTACTGGGATGCCTGAAGGCGGTACGAATGTGTGCGGTTACTTTATCATGACAAGCGCTGACTTTTTGAGGTTTTTGCAGCAGTCGGATTTCAGCCAGGAAGCAGAAGCATGGATGCAGAATCCAGCGAACCCGGTCTCCCAATCAGAACCAGACGCCATGATGTTATTTCGCGAGAACCCCCATCTGCTGAAGGCTGGCCTGGCTCACAATCATCAAGGTCATTTCAACGTCGTTATGATGAAGGTATAGACCGTATAGCTCGTTCCATTCAAATATACAGTCCTCATTCCGCTTGCCGAAATTTAGAAGTTGAAAAAGACGCGGATTTCCTCAGAAATTATCCACTTCCCGAGAATTACAGACAATTAATGGATGTGTTTAACCGAATGCACCGTCAACCCAACACTGATCTTTCGGCTGAGGACATTGAATACCTCCCAAAACTTATCCGGAAAATGGGCGATATACACACACTCATCGTTACTTACATACAGGGAAATGGTACGTCTCCCTCAATCCAATCATCTCGGGAGGATCTGCTCAACCTGTTTTCTAGGTCCGAGTGGGACTACCGCTAAAAATCTTGCAGAAATTCGTGAAGGTTTTGAGAAGGGGGAAGATTTAGATAAGCTCATGAAACTTACAAAATCTTAGGCCCAGCAGACTCTTGCAATACACCATGACACCCGTCGTCATGCTTTTTCCTCAAGCGACGATTACAGCTTTGGTACTAGTATGGCACAATGGTTTCAGCGGCGGTTGAATCAGACTTCGAGTATATTGACTGTAGTACCATGAACCAAGTGGTGTTCACCTGCGTTGGCACTCGACCTCACTTCACGCGTGCGCATGGACATGAGGGCTCATCTTTTCGACAAAAATCAAGCAATATCCATTATTATGTACGCGCCGCACGCCAAGCTACAAGGTTGGTTACTTCATTTACCCTTATTTATCTATTCAGTTTGGTTCAAAGCAGAGATTTCCAGCTGTTACAGGCTACTCCTGACACTTCCAATCCGCGAGAATGGCATAATTCATTCTTGAACGCAAAGTTCCATATGGAGATACATAATGATAATTATGCAAGCTATTAGTGCTCAGCGCTCAGTATTTGCAGGTACTTACCATCTCCTGCATATACTATCTCGCTGTCGCATGACAATGGTTAACGTTCATTTCCTATACCAACGCTGGATAAAAAGACGCCTCTTGCTTCTATATTAAATGAAAATTCTTCTCAAAAGCTGGCGAATACCACGCATATGAGTAGTAAAGCGACCGAGGGACCAGCAGGGTCTGAACTTGGCACAATTATCATGCATGGATCGCCCCTTCGGGCAACATTCAGTAACATTCCGAGATATTCTCTGAAGCTATGTATATCCTCCCATCCGAGCCCTGAGACCTGGTCTCTAGAACGTTAGTACCGTGCACTCCAAATCCAATCCAACTTGACTTTCGCTTAAGCTATCTTTACCTACATACCACGACGGTCACTTCACACATCATTCTCACCGCCGTTCTGGCTGCCGGGACCGACGTACTCGCTATCCCCGTTGTCTCCATGGGCGGCACCCTTCCTCCTCCTTCTGAATGTTGGATAATTGAGAGGAGTCAAAATAGCGGAATGTTTCGGGACATGCTTGGTCCATTTCTTCTTGCGCGCAGCCAAGCTTGCATCTTCCTCGATGTTTCTCACCACACTGAACCCTGAAGGCCTGATGGACTGACGATTCATTCGGCCAATTCAAACTTTCAAGGCTGTGACGGCTACTTGCTGCGTGGAAGGAAAAGGAGATGGCGTGGCACTCGATGTCGATAGATGTTGCAGGCATAACTGTTTGTTATCTACTTATTGATCTTTTGAATAAGCAGAATCTGGACTCCGCGAAGCTTTCTAGCAAGGTCAAAGCCCGGACAAACTTTACAACCTCATCATCAATCCTGTGCAATTGATAGAATGCTTAAGCACAGAACGAAATATGTTGTATTAGATTTCGGTGAACATCGTCTGAATACTTCCTTACACAGCACACACCAATCTGCTCTCCCTTTATCATCGTTGGTTGAATGTTGAAATTAGCCGAGGCTTAGAGTTTGAGGCGTGTTGTGAATTTGAAGGAACGGGATGTTTTGGAACGCCGTCTTGGTCCTTTTCTCTCTGTGCGTTTTCGCGTACCGATTCTACAGCCGCTTACTACAACATCTCTCTGAGCAGACACTCCTGCTTCTCAAAATGCCTGATATACTGACTGCCTCCGACTCCCCTGAAAGCCGTCCTGAATTTCAGCCAAGTTGTCTTCGTCATAATCCTCCACCTGCCGCAAAAATTTCTACCAATTATCTCAACGAATCTCACGCGCATGAGCAGATATCAGCATATTCAGAGCAACGAAAGGACTAGCAAAGATTGTAGCCGAGTCGGATTTGAACTGGGCATCATGGATCATCATCGTCCCCATCTTTTTTCCAGTCTCGAACTCTCCTCCCCCATCTCCTCCCCTCCCAACCGCTTACATTCAGCGTGACTTGCCAAAAAATCCGGTCGGATTTCTAATAGGTTTCTGAAGGCTATCAAACAACGCTATCTTCCCCCGTTCGAATTTCCAGAGCTGGTCTCCCAAAACTCTAGTGCCGTGCACCTCACATTCGATCTCACTCGAATCTCACTCAAGCTCTTTCTGCCCTCTCAAAATCCATAATGCTCAATTCACGTATCATTCTTACTGCCTTTCTCACTATCGGGACCGTCGTACTCGTTGTCCCTATTGTCCCTGATGGTACCGCCGGTGCTGGGACGCCTGAAGGCGGTGAGTATCGGTACGATTACCACTGTAATGTCATTATGACGAGCTCTAACTATTCTTTCTTCTTCTTGTGCTTCTGCAGTAGGCCCGGCGGATCCAGTGAACCTGGTCTCCCTGTTAGAACTAGACAACTCCATAATGATACTACACAAGGACCCCATCCATTGAAAAAAACTGGTCTAGCACACGGCTTTGGTCCTTTCAACGTCGTGCTCGTGACACAGGTGATAGTTCTTACCCGTCGTTTCAAGTTTTCTTGCCATTATATAGCCAAACTCACATATTCCGAGCGTATCATATATCTCCGAAAGCAGTCCTCCCTTCCCGAGAAGTACAAAGATGCGGCAGCAGCTTTAATTCCAGTCGGATCCGGTTCTCCAACGATGTGAGTGGACCTCGACACGGCGCGTGAACATGGCAAAAACCTAAGCTATCTATATAATATTTTTACGCGTTATGTGGAGAAGGATGGCGCGTCTCTTTGTTTCTGTGGGTTTTCTTTGCAAGAGTCTTCATTCTATTTTCTAGGTCCGCGTGGTACCAGTCCTGGAAAACTTGAAACAATTCGTCAAGGTTTTGAGAAAGGGGAAGATTTGCGGAAGCTGATGGATATTGCCACTGCAAAACCTTAGGGATCCCGCAGACTCTCGCAATGCACCATGGGAGACCTGTACAGTGTGGTCGTGCTTTTGCTTCAAGCGACGATAATGGAATCAGAGATTAATGACTACCAGATACCAAGCGTTCACGCGTGTGGGCGAGCTGGGTGAGGGCACAAACGTCCTCTTCTACCGTCACTTCAAGCTGGCACAAGCACTATCTGTTATTCTGTACGCGCCGCATGTGTAACGGTCCACGCATATGGATATACAGAGAGATAAAGGGTAATCGAGGTTACGAAGTACACGCATGGACGGAGAGACTGATCAATCATCTTATAACTCTTACGACAACGATGGTTATCACTACTTCTACGAATACTAGTAATATTAAAGCACTGTCTGAGTAACTCATGGGTGAAGTCGGTGAGCGACGTTAGTTTACAGCAAAAGAAAAATGTAAGCGCTCACATTACGCGCTCGTGAACACCGATAATTAATCCCAGGCCCCACTCACCAATAGCTCAAGCAATATGGTTCACACTACACGCCAATGCGCTCATTGTCAGTCTAAGCATATTTGTCATTTGGGCATTTACAAAAGATACCGAAAACCCGTTTGTCATCTGAAGGGGATCAAGAAGTCGAATTCGTAATAATATTGGTGCGTGTTGTAGATTTCTGAGGCAGAGATGATTCACATATCGTTTCATTCTCAGACTGTCTCTTCAGTGCTTTCAATTTCCTTTGGATATGGTGAGTGAGTTCTGGTCGGGTCTGAAAAGGTCTGAACTAAATGCAGCATTATGGAAGAATCGTCCCCAGGCCTTGGCACCTTCCGGTAACACTTACTATACTTACTTCATCTGCAGAATCTTAGCGTATATCACGCATACGGGTGTTCAGAATCCAGAGCGACGGACTGCTACAGAGTGACCAGAAGACAAGGTAGCCGAGTCGGACCTGAACACCATGCTGAGCATCCTGAACCATCATCGCCCCCGATTAGCCCCATCCTCCTCGCAACCGTTCGCTTCCAGTTGCGCGTCCTTCCGAAAACTTCCGAAACGGTATAAGAGAACAGCAGTTCCCCCAGTTCGTATACTCAGAGCTGGACTCCTAAAACTTTAGTGCCGTGCACATCCGATATCCACTAAATCTTCATTCAAGCTCTTTCCGCCTACTCCAAATCTCTCTTGACATTTACAATGGTCAATTCATGCTCTATCCTAAGTGCCCTTCTCGTCGTCGGGACTGTTGTACTTGCTGTCCCTATCGTCCCTGAGGGTATTGTCAGTACTGGGATGCCTGAAGGCGGTACGAATGTGTACGGTTACTTTATCATGACAAGCGCTGACTTTTTGAGGTTTTTGCAGCAGTCGGATTTCAGCCAGGACGCAGAAGCATGGATGCAGAATCCAGCGAACCCGGTCTCCCAATCAGAACCAGACGCCATGATGTTATTTCGCGAGAACCCCCATCTGCTGAAGGCTGGCCTGGCTCACAATCATCAAGATTATTGCGACCTCGTGAACCCACAGGTATAGCTCGTTCTATTCAAAAACACAATTATCATTCTGGTTGCTAAAATTCACCAGTTGAGGAAATGACAGACTTCCTCAAAGATTGTCATTCACTTCCCGAGAATTACAGACAGATGATTGATCAAAATAACCGAATGATGCGTTCAGGAACATCATCCATCTCTTTGCACGAAAGACTTGTTGCATCTGAAACTCGCAGGAAAATAAAGCACATGTATAAAATTATCAAGGAGTACATACACGAGGATGGTACGTTTCTCTTCATCCAATCATTTCTGGAGGATCTGCTCATGTTTTGTTCTCTAGGTCCGAGTGGTACTAGTCCGGAAAAACTGACAAGAATTCGTGACGGTTTTGAAAAAGGTGAAGATTTGAATAAACTCACAGATATTGTAGATTTGCCGAACTACACTGCTACACCAAACTTTACCTAAATCTTGCGAATCATCTTTTAAGAATTCTCCTAATCTTAAGAATCTTTGATAATTTCTTCAAAATATCTTAGAAAATGTCATTTTCCGATATTCCTGAGAGACGTCATTCCTACAGGCGTTTGCATAATTTCGTGAACAATTGAGTTTTTTTCTTTTTGCAGTCCGAATATATCCGTTCCCAATTCGGAATATCTAAATGTGATGTGATTGCTTTTCTCAACCCCATTCCTCCTCAAAAAATGCATCTATTGGTGGTATACTGAAGACACTACTGGGATGATGGGATGTAGTGAGAGAGTGACTCAGAGAATACTGCAATGATGTGTTAAATGCAAAAAGAATGAGGGAAATCACTTCAAAATAAAAATTTTGAATACCTTGCCTTATATAAGCTTAACACTGTTCCAATAAAGAACTCGAGGCTTGTATGAAGGAGATTTGGATACAGGCTCAAAAGATATCAAGGAGACATATGGCAGAGCTGTTAGAGGCCTGATAATATATGAGGACTATGATGTGCTAGGATATTGTTAAGATCATGTACACCGTGTAACCGTGCCAGAGGCTACAAGGTGTCTAAGTGCGCAGGGTCAAATGGGACAGTAGTGAAGTTATTAACAACACCGCTGTTACGCTGCTAGTCCCCGGAGATCAAGAATAGAGGAGAGGAGAACTAGAAGCAGCCCAGTCAGAGCAGCGGTAACACTGACAACGGGGAGCGGACCAAAGAACTTATCAGTCCTAAGGCCAGAGCAAGAAGTACTTCAAGATAACGAGCTTGAAGACTAGAGAGTGATGAGAGTACAGAGAGAGACTCAAGTTGAGGACGTTAAGAGAGTGATCTAAGATGATAATTAAACTGAGGAACTACGGTAGTGTACAGGTCGTATTTTTATCTACAGATCAGCGCATCGGGGCGGAGCGCCAGACTAACTACTAGGAGCTATATGTGTAGTACCTGCAGGGTAGAGAAAAAGACAATAAGGAGAGACTAGAGTGAATGGGTATGTGTAGTGAGAAAGAACAATAAGGATGACAATAAAGGACAGATCTCGGAATACCGAGCAGTGAGGTGGGGCATCAAGGCATGGACTTGACAGTATCCCCCTCTTAGGCTTGAGCCCTCAAAAGCCGTTAGTATTGGGTTTTACCATCAGTCATCAAAGGAAATTTTCCAAAAGCTGTCTGCATTGGGGATTACTGTTAGTCATCCAAGAATTTTCCGGTTCTCCGTAAACCAAACACAATTCAAAGAAAAATTTTATCTGGTCCGTGCGCCAATTTGTCCCTATAAAAAGGGCCAGGTTTTGCCGCTATGGCCTGAACTTTTCCAAAATCTTCACAGTCCAACAATGTCCGGCAGCCATACCCAAACCACCACCACCTCATCATCCACTGCCAGCCCTTTGGGCTTCCGTCAGCCGCCAGCACCCCCTGCCAATCCCACCTCACTCAAGGATGAAGACTTGGAGGAGAACGAGGAAGAAATCCTGAGGAGGGCGCAGGAGAAGGTCCGCCGAATGAAGGAGAGGAAGGCAGTGGCAGCGGCGAAGAAAAAGGCTGAGGAGGCACGGGAGCAAGCTGCAGCAAGGGAGTTGGAGGAGAGGAGGAAGAGAATGGCAGAGGTGGCCACGGCCCGCAGTTGGCGGGGCTCTTCACCAGGAGAGACTTCGGGGTCCCCGCGGAGGCCTGTGGTGGAGATCCGGAAAGAGAAAGGAAAAGGGAGGGCCAAGGCAACGGGCTGCAAAGCAGCGTAAGAAATAATTAGTTGCAGTATAAGTAGTTGTAATTGTGAATAAATATAAGTAAGAAGGAGAGAGTAAGCAATAAAGGGAAGAGGATAAACACTCAATTTGCTTTCATTGTTTACCCTCTCGATGCAACGAAGTAAACTTCGGCGGAAATGTTGGGGTGGTATCCTTGTTGGCGAAGAAAGGCGTAATACCAGTGGAGACATTTGGCACGTTGTTGTAGGCGAACTCAGCAATCAGTAACAAGTGCGACCAGTCATCTTGCTGGTAGGAGCAGTAGATCCTGATGTACTATTCGAGGGTTTGGTTGACATGTTCAGTCTGCCCATCAGCTTCCGGATGGTATCCAAAGGTATTGTTAAGATCATGTACACCAGGTAACTGTACCAAAGGCTACGAGGTGTCTAAGTGTGGAGGGTCGAGTGGGACAGTAGTGAAGTTATTAACAACACTGCCGTTATGTCATTAGTTCCCGGAGATTGAGAATAGAGAAGGGAGGAACTAGGAGCAGCCAAGTCGGGGCGGCGGTATTGCCGATGACAGGGAGCAAACCAAAGAACTTATAAGTCCTAAGGTCAGAGTGAGAAGTACTTCAAGGCGACAAGCCAGAAGACTTATAGACAAGAGAGGATCAACTCAGTTGAAGGGTGATCTAAGTTGATCTAAGGTGGAAAGGGAATCTAAATTGATAATTAAACTGAGGAACTACAGTAGCGTACAGGCAGTATTTATATCTACGGATTGGCACATTGGTGCGGAGCGCTAGACTAACTACTAGGAGCTATACGAGTAGTACCTGCAGGGTAGAGTAAAAGACAATAAGGAGAGACTAGAACGAAAGGGTATGTGTAACGAGAAAGAACAATAAGGAGAGATTACAATAAGAGGTAGATCTTCGGAATACCAAGCGGCGGAATGGAGGCCCGAGGCATGGACTTGACAGAGAGCCAAATGGCTCAATTACTCATGGACAACCAACTTGTCATGCACTGGCTCTAAACCACGACACTGTAACTTCCTTGTTCCTCCCAAGTAATGCCCCCAAACCTCCCCTTATCCTCTTGGGAACCTCCCGATGCCACCTCCAGACCTCCCCAAACTGCCACCAGGAACTCAATACCTCCACAGCCGTCTACTGCCTGACAGACCTGGGAGCTCATCCATGCTTCCATCAGCCCATCCTCATGTATTTTAGATCATCCCCATTGAATGCCCACTTCATACAATGTTTCTCTGATTCTTTCCTCTTGCTTATATAAGTACCCTTATATCCTAAAGATCACTAGCTTGGTATATTTTGAACACACACCCTTTACATAGGTCAAGTCCCTGTCCCTTTGTACCTGCTAACCATACAGATTTCTCTTTACTTTCAGTTTCTCTACCTCTATCTCTCTTCTCTTGTCTTTGTCTCTACAATTGTTGATACGACCCAATATATGCTTTTACTTCATGTCTAAGCCATCCGAGTGAGTCCCCGAGCTCCCTCGAACAATACTAAAGCTCCCCAACGCCTACCGCCTTGGTGAGCCAACCTTCACAGAACCTCCTTGAGCTCCCCAACTGCTCCACAAGCTCTGGGACCTCAATTTAGGTAATGTCGAAGCTACTCCTTACGTCAAACTATGTGTCGCTTTTCTGTTACTACCTCCATCACCCGAGGATGCCCGCCGCTAACCCCCCCCCACTTCCCGGGACCTCCTTCCTGGGCTCAAACCTTATTGGGAGCTCACATATCCAAAACCTCCATCAACCACAATCTACAATGATCCTACGTTGACATTCCTAACTAGTACAACTCGTACTTCTTAGCGCTTCTATGTCTAACGGTCTCTGTTACTTCTACCTCCCCTCGTAACATCCTAGGGACCTCTCAGGACCTCTTAGGAACCTCTTCAAAGGTCAATTCCTTCAATCCAAACTACTCTTAGGTCATTCCAGTCCTCGGTCGCAGTTCCCGTAGCTCCCTTCGAGCTCCAGCTTGCTCCTAGCACGCTACATCATAAATCCCTTATACCAAAACCTACCCAAAGACCTATTCTGACCCAGGTCTTACATTATACCAAGCTCTCCTGTCACCGAACGGACTCGTCACGACAAAATGTCTGCAACGTCAACAGAATGACCTTCTAGTTCCAAACTCGAATAGAAAAAACAAAAGAGCACCTTATCTCGTGGAAACATGACACAAGCTCAAAGATCAAACCAGGCTGCTAGTTCTACTGCCATCATGTCCAGTCCCAGTCCCTTTGTACCTGCTAACCATACGGATTTCTCTTTACTCTTTGTTTCTCTATCTCAGTTTCTCTCTACTCTCGTCTGTTGTCTCTACAATTGTCCATATGATCCAATATATGCTTTTACTTCACGTCTAAGCAATCTGAGTGAGTCTCTGAGCTCCCTGAAACAATACTAAAGCTCCCCAATGCCTAACACCTTGGTGAGCTAACCTTTGTCACGAAGCGGCAGAGGCGGAGTGACTAAGCAGGTCAGTGAGGCGGAGCAACTAAGCGGAGCAGAGGCGAACTGGTCCCAGATAATGACAGAGATATATTGAGTATCGTAGTCATAGGTAATAATAAGTAAGTACATACCTGGTCCCAGATAATGACAGAGAGGTCAAGATAAGGGACCAGGCTGTGGAGGGTTGGCTATATATACATAATCTAGTCTGCGAGAAACAACAATGTAATACTGTACAGTTCAGGGGCAAGGAAGGAGGCGGAAGCCAATAGAAAGAGAAGGTGGGTCAGGTGGATTAGTAATAGATAGATCAGTAATCGATGGAGATTGACAGTGATGGGATGATGTATTGTACAAGTAAAGGTGTCGAGACGGTGAGAAAGGGAAAATGATAGGGGCTGCATACTTTATGACAACCTTCCCCAAACCTCCTCGAGCTCCTCCACTGCTCCTCAAGCTCTGGGACCTCGATCTAGGTAACATCGAAGCTACCCCTTATGTCGAACTACGTACCGCTTCTCCGTTACAATCTCCAACGCTCAAGGATGTCCACCTCTAAGCTCCAGTCCCCAGGACCTCCCCTCCCGGGCATATATCTTCTCAGGAGCTTACCAACTCGAGACCCACTTCTACTACGACCTATTCAATCTTACGTTGATGTTCTAGCAAGTACAACTCCTACTACGCAATGCTACTAGGTTCCGTACTTCTACCTCCCCTCCCTGGACCTTATAGGAACCCCTTCAAGGGTCACATCTCTCCATCCCAGCAACTACTAGGTCATTC